TGTCATTGTCATTTAATTGAAGGAACTGTCTGATTTCTTCTTTAATTTCCTCTGTGACCCATTGGTTATTCAGAAGTGTGCTGTTCAATTTCCATGTGTTTATGGAATTCTTGTGGTTTCTTTTGCTATTGATCTCCAATTTCATTGCACTATGGTCTGATAATGTACAAGGGATAACTTCATTTCCTTTGCACTTACTTAAACATGTTCTGTGAGCGAGTATGTGTTCTGTTTTGGAGAATGACCTGTGTGCAAGGTAGCAGCTCTCTTAATACTTCTCACATGATGTGCTTATTGTTTGTATGTCCGTGTTACTGAAATGTGAATTCTTGTAGGGCTGACTCCTCCCTTTTTCCACCAGCCTTTTATATCATACTAAGACCACAGTAACAGACAATGAAAGAATGTGTTGTTGAAGTCACAGTCACCTGTGAGTTTCGGCGTGCGCACGCGCATGCATGTGTGTGTGTGTGTGTGTGTGTGTGTGTGTGTGTGTGTGTGTGTGGTAATTGGGGACTCTCACCTGAAGCCCATCTCCTGCTGTCTCCCATTAGGCTTGCTTTGCTAAGGATGGCATTATGCACCAGCTTGATCACCACATCGGTATCCTGAGGGTGCTGTGTAAAGAGCTGGCTTTGCAGGAGAGGCAACAGGAAGTGAAGAGAGCGCTTAGAGATTATGAGCAAAAGATCGAAAGACTTCTGAAGAGTGCTTCTGAGATTCTCATGACGCTGCAGGCCCCTGCGGGAGGTTCATCAGAAGTCCAGTCAGTACTTGATAAGAAGAGCCATGCTTGGGGGGACGCTAGATGATGCCTTCTGCCCAGTCAAATGCCATTAAGCTTTATTCTGTCTCTTTTAGTTTCCATTATTCTCACTGTGTTTTAACATGTAATCTTGATTTCTTCCCAGGGGGACCATGACCACAACCGAGAGTGGCGGAAAGGATTCCCGCAGTGAAGTGCCATTTGCAAAATCAGATAATCAGCCACCAGCTGAAGAGGTATTAGAGGTGGATAATGTATGGTTAAAAATACACTCAGTGTAAGAGGCCAGGTATACAATAATCCACTTCTAACTGTTTAAGTATTGGTTTTAATTATCTGGTTGTTTACATCAACTAAGAATTCCCACTCAACAAAATGCAAAGAAGACTGGTTTTCGAGGAATTAGCATGCACGGAACCAAAGCTGTAGTGATCATAACTTAATCTTGCTCTGAGGATATGATTGTTTCAAGAAGAGACCACTCTGAACTATCATGAAGACAGGATTCTGTGTCAGTTGCTTTTGAGGGTGGAAGGGGCTGGGATTGTTGTGCACAAATGCTTCTGTTTCATTGAGATGAACTAGTTCATTTATCATTTGTCTTCTTGCTGTCATGTGTTTTACTTCCTTTGGGAAGTGAATTTTCTAAATTCTTGAAGGTAAGTTGCCACTTATTGCATGTCATTCCCAGAGAACCAGACAGCACATGCAGGAGTGGAACAAGGTACATTTGCTTTCGGAGGTCCTGCTCCTGCATGGTCGGCTTCTGTCTGTGTCTGACTGGCCGGAGGTCTCACTCAGCAATAGCAGTTAGAGGCAGGCAGTGTTCCTTTACCCATTAGAAAGTGAGGTCCACTCTAGTAAATCTCCTGTATCCTGTGGGAAGGCTTTTTTCTGAGCTGAGAAATTGCAAAGAAATCATATTGTCTCTTGGTTTGGGATAGAATTGACAATATATCTTTGGGCATAAAGCATGTATCTCTTCCAGGCAATAAGTGTGTTTCTGGTATGTTTGCTATCTTGTGTATTTACTTAGGCAATGGCACCCAGTAAGGATTTGAGCCTGGCTTCGGAGTTAAAGCCCCAGCAAGAAGAAAGCATTATGAGAAAGGATGAAAAGGAGGACAGTGCATCTATAAATAAGTTGCAAGAGAGGTAACCTCATTTTAAACAGCTGGAAAAATCCACCAAAAATCCTTCATCATTCATAACATGTTATGCTTTATAAAGTCTTATCCTTTAATTATAAGTTTGGTGCATAGTCTAGTAACTTAAACAGAAGTTCCCTGGGATTTCTTCATGTACAATTGATGGTAATTTATAAATATGTTTGTCTTATTTTTAAATTTAACATTTACATTTCATTTTTCCCCAGATATGATGCACACAAAGAGATTCTTGAACTAAACCTGCAAAACAAAAAATTCAGGATTACTTCTGATTTCCCTAATGAAGAGGAAGGAAGTAGTGCTTGTCTGCAGGATGAACTGAAAGACCTGCAGGTAGCTACTGGAAATATTGTTTCTCCTTTATTAAAAAAGAACACCACCATGAGTATGGACATGACTATTTTTGTTGAGGTGACATACGCAGGATGTATTCCAAGAATTCTCTTTGTTGGGTTGCATTTCTAATGTCACCCTGTTCCAGAAAGTGATTTGTTTGCAAGTACCCAGGCTAGGAAAGACTTTGATTATGGATTCTAATTTATTCCCAATGCTTTAATCAGCTACTCCAGATATGGTGGCTTATAGAGATTTTGACTGTGTTTGGGTCTCTAGATAAACTGATCAAAAACAACAGATTTGGGCCGGGGATGTAACTCAGTGGTGCCGTGCCTGCCTGTCAAGGCCAAGGTCCTAAGTTTGATTCTGGTACCAAATAAAAAAAAAATCCAGGGCCAGGGATTTAGCTCAGTGGTGCTGCCACCTGCCTTGCAAGTGTAAGGTCTTGAGTTCGATCCCCAGTACCAAAAAAAAAAAAAATCCACCATATTTGAAGGCAATTTCAGCCTGCTCCTGTGTTGCTCCAAAATTAATACACTAGTGACTTTGAACATTTGTCTCAATCATTCATCATCTCGACCAAATTCTTACATTGTCGAGAATTACTGTAATGTGTATCAGCTGTGGACTGACTGCCTGATATAGGCAATGTAGGCAGGCGGTGAAGGGAATGATGAATCATCTTCCTAGAATGCTGTTAGTGTGGGCACACATATCATAAGCGTCACAAATAAATATCTTAATTATTTTGAAGATTATCAGTGCATTGTAGTGCAACCATCTTACTGTATGGGCTTCTGCATGCGTTAGAGAACCTTCACAGGGGAGCCCATCCATCAGGTGAAAAGGGCCCAGTGTGGGTCCTGCAGCATGCACCCATGTTTTCCAGATTTCTTCACTTCCTTCTGCCAGCTCTCAGTCACACTCTTCTTTGTTTTTCCCCTGAATAAGCCAATTTTATGTGTTTAAAATCCCTGATGTTCAAGTGATGGATTTAGCATGTTTTCCTCCCCACTAAAGAACTATGTCGAGATCTTTCCCCACTGACTGAATATTGAGTTGATTAGGGAAACATTATACTTTGGAGGAGTGAAGAGCAAATAATTCTGTTGATCTCCTAATAGTATTCTTATGCAGTGCCTTAAAATAAGACACTAGAATAGTATAGAATTATAGATGTTTTAGTATAAGCTATAAATTAATGTTACTCACTTATGTGTATAGAAACAGTTTTGTTTCAGTACAGTTTTCTTTTAATATAGAAGGTAACAAATTTACTACCTAGAGGAAATAGAATATCTGTTCCTTGTAGCTGTGTCTCTGTCTGAATTGTATTCTGTGTACAGTAAGGGGAAAGGAGTTTGGATACCTTTGAAAGCCATATTGTCAACTCCCTTCCTTCACTGAATGGGTCTTTTGAGAGCAGTTAATATTGTTCTTCCCCATAGGATAGTTCATTTGTTTTGGGGTTTTTTTGGTACCGGGGATTGAACTCGGGTCCTTGCACTTGTGAGGCAGGCAGAGGAACCACTGAGCTAAATCCCTAGCCCAGGATAGTTCATTTGTAGATGTTTGGAAAATAATTTAAAACACATTTTCACATGAAACATTGTTTCCTCCCACAAGAGTGAATATCTCGTGTTTTGTTTTGTTTTTAATGTCTCATTTTATAAGAATAAAATAATAATGGTGCTTATTAATTTACTGGTTGATATATTAATTTATATGTTTCACTAGCTTCTGAAAAATGAAACTGATGCTTGCTGGAAAGAGTTTGAAATCACCTCATTGAAGTTAGAGAGTCTTGTGAGTGACCTGGAGAAGCCTGCCATAGTCAAGGCAAGAGATACATTAAAGGCAAAAGAGAGTGACTTTCACATGCTACTGAAGGCCAGGTATGATTCTGAGATCTACTACTCATGAATTTAATGCATCTACTCAATTTTTAAAAATCATCTTAAAATGATTACTATATTAAGTAGTTATTTTGTTTAGTTATCAAGACCACAAAAGGGGCTAACATTATTGCGTTAGTCAGCTGTCGGTTGCTGTAAAAATATACCTGAGCTAAGTCACCTTCATAAGGGAGAAGGTTTATTGTAGCTCACGGTGTCAGTGGTTTCAGCCTGGGTGCCCTGGCTCTGTTGCTCTGGGGCTGAGGTGGCACCGTATGGCATGGTGGGAGTGCATAGTGGGGGAGGTCTTTTCATTTCCTGGCAGCGGGAAAGCAAAGAGAAAAGGGGTCTCAATCCCTCCTTCAAGTGCACGGCTCCAGTGACCTAACTTCCCCTAGACCCACCCCCTGGGGGTTCCGTGGATTCCAGTCGCTCCAACCTGAGGATAAAGCCTGTAACTCATGGGCCTTTGGGTGCCGTTCCAGATCCAAACTATAGCAATCATGACTCACTTCACTGATAAGGAAACATGTATGCAGACGGCATGGCAAACATCCAATCCATACCTGTAGCCAGGGACCGCAGTGAAAGTTAAGGGCTCTCCCATTCCAGGGTCCTGCTCTTCCCACTGTCTCTCCTTGGGCATGAATTTGGCTAAGTCACATAAGCTGTCAGTGAGAAATGGTTTCTTCATTTCTGAAATAAAAGTGCTGTTTTTAACCCACATAAATAAGACGTGCATAGCATTTGTGTCCCCAGCTCTTGTCCCCATTTTATATAGGAAGCAACTGAGGCTCAAAGTCTGTAACTTAGCCATGGTCACACATTTCAGTTTCTTATCTGTAGAGCCTATTATTTGAACCCCATAATGTGGAGTAATACTTATAAATGGAAATATACATTATTCCATAATTGGTTTTTGTTTTGTACCAAGGATCGAACTCAGGACCTTGCACTTGTGAGGCAGGCACGGTGCCACTGAGCTAAGGTGCTCACCTAATAAGGTGCCCCGGCCCCTTATTCCATAATTGTAATAAAATAATTATGATTTTTCTTGGTCATCAAGTCAAAGTTAAATTACATTCAATATTAAAATTTCAAAAGAGAAGGCAATGCTTAGTGTGTTTAATAACAGTTTTTCATTCTGTTATTTCCATTTAATTAATTATAATTCTTGGATATCAGGACACATTTTTGAGTGAAAGAGAAATCATTAACAAGGATATCAAAACAGTAACAGTGAGTTGGAGTTGGCTAGGGCCAAAGGGATGCATAGTTAATCAAGCTCTCTTACTAAATGTTTGTTGAATGAATGAATCAGTGGATAAATGAATGGAAAGAAAGAATACTTGGATATGGCAAACTCATGTTTGGCGTTTCAGATGTGTGGGTTTGGGTTTAATGGGATCTGTACATATCATTATGGCTGTTTTCCTTGGGTGACTATTTCGTGTTCATGGTCACATAATGGTGTTCATGTGTTTTTGTAGGATGTTTTCCTGCTTCATTTCCCCTTATGTCAGGCTTATTTTTCACCCAGAATGGAGTCCCTAGAGCTGGCCCTGCAGGTTGTGTTGCCAGTGGAGAAGGAGTCACTGCTCCTGTGTGGCTCGGACCTGGCCCTCAGGGAGGTGGCTGTCCAGGAATTTCATCTCGTGGACTCCGATGGTGTTCACCAAAACCTGAGGGTAAATCACTCCTCCTGGTGTACTGGAAGAGTAATCAGGGATTTATAGATGGTCATGCATTTTTAAAAAAATTCTTTTATTGGTACATTTTAGTTAGGTATACAATACATTTACATTTATCATTGGGTGTTTGTACCTGTACATGATGTATCTTGGTTCTTATTTTTTTCCCCATTACCTATGCACCCTTCACCCCCTCCACCCTTCCCTATTTACATAGATTTCATTATTTTTTCTTTTCTCATAATTTTTCCTTTTCCCTTACCCTCCCATCACCCGTACACCTTCGGACCTTTTCCTATTTTTAATTATCAATTATTCATTTTAATCCTTTTAATCCTTGTTTACACTTTCAGTTTCTCACCCTAGAGAAACTATTTGATATTTACACATGTGTGTCCTATTTATTTCACTTAAGAGTATGGCCTCAGTATCCATCCATTTAGCTATAAATGTCTCTAGTTTCTCATTCTTTATGGCTGAGTAGTACTCCAGTTTATTAAAAACCCACATCTTCTTTATTCAGTTTCCAATTGATGGGCATTTGGGCTGATTCCAAGCTTTAGCTATTACAAACTGTGCTGCTATAAACATGGGTACACATATATCTCTGCGATATGATTCTTTTAATTCTTTGGGGAAGATCCCCAGCAGGGGAATAGCTGGGTCAAATGGGACCTCTAGCCCTAGTTCTTTGAGGTATCTCCATACGGATTTCCACAGTGGTTGCACCAGTCTGCACTCCCACCAGCAATGGAGAAGGGTTCCTTTCTCCCCACAGCCCCGTCAGCATTTGTTATTGGTTGATTTCATGATAGCAGCCATTCTTTCTGGAGTGAGGTAGAATCTCAGTGTTGTTTTCATCTGCATCTTGCTGCTTTTACTTCTTTGAGAAATGTCTGTTCATTTCAGATGCCCTTTTTTGTTTTTATTTTTTGGTACTGAGGATCGAACTCAGGTCCTTGCGCTTGCGCAGTAGGCGGCAAAACCACTGAGCTAAATCCTCAGATGCCCATTTTTAAATTTGGTCTTTGAATTTTGGGGGTCTGATTTTTTTCAATTCTTTTTTTTTTTGGTACCGGGGATCAAACTTTGGGCGTTGCATTTGTGAGGCAGGTGGCGGAACCACTGAGCTAAATCCTCAGCCCTGATTTTTTTCAGTTCTTTATATATTCTAGATAGTAGACCTTTAGTATAGATTTAAAATATAGCCATTACAGAAAAATCTTCAATAGTTTATTGTTATTCATTTCTCAAGTCTCTAAATCCTTGTAACTTTGAACATAGGTACCATGGAGTAAATTACAGGATAATTTCTTTGAATTTAAAATGAAGCCTTCTTTCTGAATGCCTTCGTCATTGACTGAATTCCTAAATATCATATTAGACTCATTAGCTTTAGTTGGGATATTTTATATTTATTCCAGATTCTATCTTTAAAATAATTTTTAGATTGTATAACTGTAACTGGTCTCTCAACTGTTCATCTGTATTTGCTTTTTTTTTTTTTTGGTACTGGGGATTGAACTTAGGACCTTATGCTTTCGAGGCAGGTAGCAGAACCACTGAGCTAAATGCCCAGCCCCTCATCTCTGTTTGCTTTGAAGCAATAGATTTATATACTTGTTTTCTTTTGGGGACTGAAACATCAGGAGGGATGTGAGATGCACTATCTCATCATTTGTAATGAAAATGTTTCCTATGTTTAAGTTCAGCTTTGGTTAATCTCAGAAGCATTTTCCTAGATCAAATCTAGTCTGGCAATTGAGATTAATTTCTGACTCATAGTTTTCTTTTTTCCATCTTAGTCTTTTCAAGTATTTATTTATTTATTTATTTATTTTTAGAATATCCAGGATTCCATTGCAAAACAGATCGCAGTATGTATTGATTTAGAAGAGCCGGGCAGCTTTGTATTGAAGGGATTACACCCTGTTGACATGTGTGCCACACAGAGAATTCTACAGAAGTGCAGAACTCAACTTGAGCAAGTGAGCCATAGGGCGAAGATGAGTAAAGATGCCCTGGCTGCTCTAGAGGAGTTTCTGTCTTCTCTAGGAGCACTGAAACCTTCCGAGGAGCTTCTCATGGACCAGTCAGTCTCAGATGCACAGGGGGCACCAGGAAATACTTTAACAGAAAGAGATACAGAGGGAGAAATGTGGCTGATGAAGGACAGGGCTGGACAGCTGGATGAGCGTTTGAAGATGCTTGGTGTAACCTTTAAAGATGCCGGCCAAGGCGAAGACACCACTTGTGAAAAACTTGTGGATGCTGTGTCCACAAAGTTACTAGACACACGGGGCCCTGGCACACATCAGGGACTTGCTGAAGAGAACAGACTATTAGAGGCATGTAGCTCCAAAAATAATGAGCTCTTTAAAACTATTCAAGATGTGCAGAAGCAGATCAGTCAAATTGGTCTTAAGGATCCCACCATTCCAGCTGTAAAACATCGGTAAGAATAGTGATTCTTCCACCCATTTCCGCCCAGGATTACACTTCTGTCTTCCCATCTCTTCTGTGAAACAGACTTCTTGTGTAGCTATTCCATCCTGTTCCCTATTCAGCGCTCCACATTCTTCTCAGTAGACTTTTCAAGCAAGCTTCCTTCTTTACTGACACAGTGCCTTTCCAAAATATTGGATAGTTGTTTTCTCTTTAATGTATGTTTTCTCATGGTGAAGTAAGATTTGTGGAAAGGGTGCAAGGTAGTTCAAAGTCCACACTTTGTGTGTCTTACGGAGTCCTTTAAGGGTGGAAGATGGGCAAACGTCACACATATTTCATTACAGGGACTGGTGGCAGAGGATGCGCATGCCATGTCTTGTCCCTGTACCTCCCAAGTTATCTCCTCTCCTCCTCTTCTCCCAGTAGGGCTAGAGTGGTGCTGAGTGGGAGGACATGGGGCTGAATTTAAGAGGCAAGTTAAGAGCTGACTGTGGAGACTGAGCAGAATTGGCATAGACTGGGGCTGGCAGCCTTCTGTGTACGTACCTGCTGTTTTCGTTCCGGCATTCAGAGTGTATCCTCTGTGTCCTGGAAGTAGAAATGTTAGCAAGAGTCACCTTCGTGGAACTTTCCAAGTCCCTTTAAGTCTCTCCCACTCTGCGTCTCTGGCTGTGCAGTCTCAATGGTTTCTTAAGGGTCTTTAGCTGACCAGGTCCCCCAGTGTAGCTCAGTGCGCCCTTCTCCAATTTCCCTCTGCCCTCAGGCCCCAGGAGACTGTCATTCCTAGAGTGCCCCACTTCACAGTGAGGCACTGGACGATTTATTAGTGTAGCTATTCCTTTAATACATTCAAATTATAGATTTATAAATAATGTTACATCTGAATGAGAAAACTGTGTTTATAAATTATAAATTACTTTATTAAAACTATGTGTTTATAAATTATAAATTACTCTGTTAAATATGTACTGTGTGCCAAGCACTGCTGTAGGTACTGGGGATGCAGCAGTGAACACAGAAATTCTTGCCAGTATCTCCTGGGAAGAGGGAGGTATTTACTTTGTCTGGAGGTGGTAAAGCCTGTGGAGATTTAGAAAGGAAGAAGGAGGAGAAGGTTGCAACTCACCAGGAGAGTCAGGGAAGGCTTCACTGAGAAGGTGGCCTTGGAGTCCAAGCAGATGCAAGAGCAAGCCCCATGACTACCTGGAGGAAGAACCTTCCAGGCCCGGGTGCTGCAGACAGGCCAGGCGTTGGAGGAGAAGGCACAGCCATGAGGGCCAGAAGTAGGAAAGAGGATCAGAGCTGTCATGGGTGGGATGAGGCTTGGCTCACGTAGGGATCTGGAGATCATAGCATCACATTGGCCTTCTCTTTGAGTGACGTGAGGGGCCAGAAGAGAGCTCTGAGCAGAGAGAAGTGATTTGATTCAGGCAGTAACAGGTTTTCTCCAGCAGTTGTGTTGAGACTATATGGTAGGACTGGAGAAGATGCTACCCGTGGAAAAGATCATGGAAGCCTGGACGGGCAGTGAGTTGGCAGAAAGTGGTAAGATTCTAGGTCAGGTCCACAGGGTTTGTTGACACAGCGGACATGGTAGGTAAGAGAAAGCTTAGAGTCCAGAATGATTTCAAGGTTTGACCTGAGCAGCTGGAAGAAGGGTTCACGTTCACAGATGAGAAAGAGTGGTAGTAGCAGGTATTCCATGAAAGATGAGTTGTGCTCAGTTTTAGAAATGCTAGCTTGGAAGTCCTTCCGTGACATTCAGGTGGTGATCCAAGCAGGCCCCTCAGAAAGAGGCTGCGGCAGGAGAGGAGTCTGGTTAGAGGTGCGCGTGTCAGAGTGTTGGGTGAGTGAGGGTGCTGAGGGAGGGAGTGTAGACCGATGAGCGCGTTCCAGGGCCCTGAGAGCAGGGCCCTGCAGAGGAGCCAGCTGAGGACCCCGAGCAGGACTGCCTGGGGTCGCGGGAGGAGAATCTCCAGAGCCCGGGAGCCAGCTTCAACACAGAGGACGTGGGCAGCTGTGAGGGGAGAGTGGCGCTCGGGTTCCCACCCATCTCACCCCCGCCCCTGCACTGGCTCTGAACCCAGGGCCTTCACCCTACGCTACATCCCAAGCCCCTTTTTGTTATTTATTTTGAGACAGGGTCTCATGAAGTTGCCCAGGCTGGGCTCAAACTTGTGATCCTCCGGCCTCGGCCTTCCAGAGTGCTAGGTCACAGGTGTATGCCACGAGGCTTGGCTTAGTCAATAGAGATTTTTGACAGCAGTTGTGGTGAAGCAGTAGGAAGTGAAAGCCTTGGAGTGGATTCAAAAGGAGACTGAAGAAGAGGAAGTTGAGGCAGTAAGCTATTAAACAACCTTAGGCGAACAGAGTTCATTTATAGGTTCAAACCCTTAATGAAGCATTTGTAGTTACAGCACTCTGAGAGGCTGAGACAGGAGGATCACAAGTTCAAGTCTGGCCTGGACAACTTAGCAGCTTAGACCCTGTTTCAAAAATTTAAGAAAGGGCTGAGGATATAGTTGACTGCGAAGGCCCTGGATTCAATCCCTAGTACCTCCTTTTTGATGTAAGAGAACTTTTTGTACACAGGGTGGAAGTGAAGGTTTCCTTTCCTCTTTCCTTGGCCACGCCCCCTCCCTTAGGAATTGTGCAGCTGTGAGTCATCTGTGTTCTGTCTCCTCCCCTGATTCCCACACCTACTCTCTTCCTCTCATGTGCATAGACACACCTTTAGAAATACGAAAGAAAAATGTCTCTCCTAATGGTTTTATATATTTCTTTTTTGTTTTTGGAACCAGGGATCAAACTCGGGGCCTTGCGCTTGCAAGGTAGGCGGCGGTGGTTTTATGTATTTCTTTAAAACACCAAATTAGTACTCTGGAAATGCAGCGCCTCCTTGACTCTGTAACAGGAACGTGTAACTTCATCATTAACCTCATGGACCCATGAAAGTTAGCCCGTTCCCCCAGATATGTGTCTTGAATCACACTAGTTAACACCTGGCTAAGAAGCTTTTCTCATCCATAATCCAGGAAAAAATCCTTAATCAGACTGGAGAAGGATCTAGATGGATATGAAGAAGAGAAAAAACACTTACAAGAAATGGCGAATTCTCTTCCTCGGTTCAAAGATGGCAGAGAAAAAACTCTGAATGAACAGTGCCAAAATACTGTGCTCTTGTGGGAGAGCACAAAGACTGCTGTCACCGAGTGGTAAGGGGAAAGGAATCCCTCCTGAAGCTGAAACATTGTCTGAACGTAGTTAACATTTGGACAAATTCATATTGAAAACACACTGGCGCTCAGTGCCAGGGCCTTTGCCACACGGTCCCTGCAGCTCAGGGCAGTGTCGCCTGTGTGCCATGGACCACGTGCTGTCTTTCTCCAGGAGGAGGCTGTGAGCGTAACCTATTTCTGTGGGAATTCCTGGGAACTCCAGCCTTGCTGGGGGCTTCTTTTAACCCTGCTGTGCCCTGCCGGTCCTCTCTGCAGGATCCTGTCTGTGTGCCCCTCCTGCAGCCCCCCTGGCACCCGCGTGCATGGAAGTCAGGCCACAGCCTACTCTACCCTCTGACTCACTGCACAGAGAGGCTTGAGGGCGAGAGTCTGAAGTATCTTCCCCAGAGTCATCAACTAAGTAGTGCCCGGCCACACTAGAAACCAGGGTTCCAACTATTTTACCAGATTCTCTGCACTGTTTTACTTTTTATTTGTTTATCTATTTATTTTTTATTCCGGAGATCGAACTCAGGACCTTGCACCTGCAAGGCAGGCAGCGGTGCCACTGAGCTAAATCCCTGGCCCTGTTTTACTTTTTTAAAGGGCTGAACCTACAATGGGCAGAAAAGACATTCCCGTAGGCAGCCTGTGCCTTGCTCACTAATTTGATGTAAGTGCCAAGAATAATTCTGTTTTCCAAATGTCTTTTGGTTAATGATGATATTGAGATGCTGATCCACGGGATTATGCATCCTGTGTTTCCCTCTAGAGCTTACATCTGTCAGTTTTTAAATATTGATCTGGCGACAGTCCCAATCCAGGGATTATGTATACTATCTATTTTGCAGAGAAATACATCCGTCATTCTTCTTAGGTTGTATTGGTGAAACTATTAATAAACCATACTGAGAGGAAAAGTCCTTTTTAAACTCGCTAGTCATTATCGACTTACAAAGAGAAAGAACGATTTTGTTAATTTCAGTTGTTCAGCTCTTTTACTTTTTCTCCATAGTCTTGAACAGTGTGGAAGAGTTCTGGAACTCTTGAAGCAGTATCAGAATTTTAAAAATGTCTTGACAAATTTGATTCAAAAAGAAGAGAATGTCATGTCTCAGCAGGCTTCATACATGGGCAAGGAGAACCTGAGGAAGAGGATGGCGGAGGTGAGTGCATCCCGAAGGGAGTCTGTGCTGTGACCTCGAAATGGAGCCTGACCGTGAAGAAGATTGTAGGAGCAGAAATGAAATTGGTTTTTGTTTCGTTTTGTTTTTGAGACAGTGTTGTGTACTCTAGGCAGGCCTTGAACTCACTGTATGTATTGTCCAGGCTGCCCTCAAACTCGTAGTCCTCCTGCCTTAGCCTCCCCGTGCCGGGATTATAAGACAGCACCACCACATCCAGCTAAATGAAGTCATACTTGACATCTGGATGCAGAGAAGTCACTGGTGACTGTATTTTACCAGATATCTAAGAATTTAATGAGTTTAACACCAGAACTTGGAAAAAGAGCAGCCCCCACATTGCTGGTGGGTAGCTTCTGTTTGAGGTTTGCTAATGGGGCCGTGGTCCCACCGAGGCCTAGAATTGCTCTCAGCAGCTGCTTCTATGAGGCTATGCCAGCCCTTACACACACTTGCTGTCTAGAAGAACTCGAGAGTTCCCTGCAGGTTTCAAAGAACGAGGATGGCAGGAAAATCCCCTCTGTTTTTAATGCACAGGGAAAAGTTAGGTTTCACCTGCTTGCTTCTGTGAAGGTGGATGAGCGTAATCTCCATGTTGCTCCATTTCTGTTCACAGCCTCTCCATTTATGACTCCATATTCTAAGAAGAATAACATTTTTGAACACTAGATGTCATTCTTTTCTATGTTTTTACGTACAGTAGTCACCAACTACAGAAGAATGGAAGTTTGTAAAAAAAAAAAACCACACTATACTGTACATCAGAAATTTCCTTTTCCTGTGGTTATAAGTGTTAAGCTGGAGTGCTGTGCTGTTAGTGCCACAAGCATGTGTGAAATGTGCCCTGCTTGATACACTTGGATATAGAAAACAATTATTAAACTTCCTAGTCACGAGCACAATTCAGGAGAAGTGTAAATAGCCCAGATTTGTACAAATAACGTAGTCTACCTAGAACTGTTAACCCACAGGCTCCAGTGACATGCAGAGTGTCAGTAATAGTTTTTGTCTGGGACCCACTTCCTGAAACTGTTTCACCCAGCTGAGAGATCTGAAGAGGTCCTTTTTGGATACTGGCTTTATAGGTGTTGACTGTGTAACTGGTTTCCTGTCAGACTGAATTGAAAGGGTCACAGGATCATGAGCAGCCAGTGGGAGTTGCTCAGATGGAACCTGTTTCCCTGTGGTGAAGGTAGTTTTTGGGGTTTGCTGGCCTTGGGAACTAGGAGGATCCTGTCCTTGTTCCATTGGGTTTATGGAGTTCTGGTTTCCTTGAGTAGGTAACAGGGAAAGGGGACGTTATTAGAACCTCTGCAGTAAGTCCTAGTCTCCTGTGAGCCCCGACAGCACAAGGCAAATTAATTAATATATAGACAGAAAATGAGACTTAGAGAAGAAGCTGAGCTTTGGCCTGATCAGTGCTGCTCTGGGCGGTAAAGACCTCAGGCCCCAAGCTTGCCACACCTTTCTTCAGAACATTGGCAGAAACAGAAGTAGCAAATGATTCAGAGGGCTCAGCAATGATCCTGAAACAATGGGGAACTATGGGGATGAAGATTTGGTTCCTCCCAGGATGTCTCCAGCTTGTGTGGTCCTGCCCTGGAGCATCACAGCATCACGAGACCATTGAGGTCTTAGCTGTGACCAGAAGTGAAAATGGAGTTCTATCTGGACTTGGCCATAGCTGGCCTACAGAAAACAAAACTAGGCCCTAATTATGATTTAATTATAAAATGATTTTTTCCTAAAATCATATAAAATTGCCCCGACACCTTGATTCTAGGAGAATTCAGCATCTTCAGCCTTTGTCAAGCACCTTGCAGAAGTACCCACCTGGGACTTAATCAGCACCTTATGAGCGTTGGCCGCAATGCCTCACCCCATGTATGGCTAACCTGCAGCTCTGCTCATGTGCCCTTGAGCCCTGAGTCACAGAGCCCTGGAACTGTAAACTGGCCTTCAGGATAAGGCATGTGTGCAACTAATACCACTCCCTCCCGTCACCAGCCAGTCACCAGCCAGCCCCTCTCGGGGTGATTTTCCCTAAGGGCAATCTAGGCCCAGATCTTGACCCTTGTGCCTTCTCTAGCTCCTCCGTGGCTGTCATAACAGGACCCCAACTGTAAGCCTCTCTAGAAAGCCAACTTTTCATCTTCTTCCAGGGCATGGGGAGAGAGGACCTGAGAGTTTAAATGTTGCTCTTAAAAAAATGATACCTTGTTTTCCTGTTGGTGACCATTTGTACATTTCTGGGTGCCTCAAGGCATTTTCTAGACTATTTTTAAATCCATGGCATAAATGGACTTTTTACTGGCTTTTCTTTGCACTGTCCTCCCAAGCCCCTCTCCTTCTCGGCTGAGGTTTTGGCTTTCTCTGCTTTATTAAGCCAGGTAGCACCATTCTTTAGCTTGCAGGCTTTCTGCGTTCTCATCCCTCTCCAGAGCGTTCTTATCCTCTGTATTCTCTGTCCTTGTGGATTTGCACTGTATAATTCTCTCCTGACGTTGTCATGGCATTTGGGGAGAGAACAGACAAATGCGTATACCACCACCCATCATGTTAAATCTGAAGACTAGGTGGTATTTTTTAATGCATTAGTGGAAAAACAGAAAACAAAAATTGAAAACCCTTTCCAATAAAATAGTTAACAATTGCATTGTTATTAATTGTACGACCCTGCGTGTAACCAATCTGCATGTCTTCTCAGGCACATGACCCCACACCTCTGTTACCCCAGAACTGTCTCTTGATAAATTATTTACCCAGCCAATAAAATATGCACTATCAGAATTTTTTTCAGATTTTACTCAAACTCACTACATGCCACCATGTAGTTTCTCATAACTCATACATATATATACACGTACATACACAGATATATATAGTCTCTCATATGTACACACATATATGCGTATATATATACATACACAGATATATATCGGCTATAAGTCTATACTTCTTGTAAGATAACTACTAAATGAACCCTTTAATATTCTGAATTCCTTATTATTTTATTCAATAAACAGATTTAGATATAAATCCAATGTTGTGATTACCAAGTATAGAATGAATGTAGATTTAAATTAAAATGTGGACATTGGCATTTAAATATCTGCCCACCTTTCAGTTACCATTGTTTTGAGCAAAAAGTAACAACCACTCATCCCCTTCTTTGCCACTGAGGGAGAACCACTGATGTGAACATCTTCCTCTAGAACCTTGGGTTTTGGTTCTGATGGAACCCAGTGCTTCCTGCATGCTAAGCATGGGCTCTACCACAAAGCTACATCTCCAGCCTGTTACAGTTCCCTCTTGAATAATGTGAAGACTGAACATACAGATAAATCAAAGAATGGGGGCTTTTAATAAAGTATCCCTATGTATAGTATCATTTATATAATATTTACTAAGAGCAGTTCATTTAAATATGTCCCATATACAGAAATTATTATAAATTTTTAATATTTTACACAGTGCTGTATAGTAGAAAAATATTTGTAATCAATCCAGTAGCGTAAGGTTTACAATAACATAGAAAACTTACAGAAGTTATGAGAAAAACCACTATGATCCTAATGGGAAATAGAAAATATACTGAGAGTTGTTAATTGAAAAAAAAGACAGAGACATAGTTCAACTTCTTCAGTAATCAGAGGACACAAACTACTTGGCAATATTTATTTTGGCCTTTCAGATTATCACAGCCTTTGATAGTTCACAGTATGATGCTGGTTTCCTAGTGACTTTATCATACCAGCCTTTTAGAAAACACTGTGACAATTCTGGGGGTTGGGGTATAGGTCAGAGGTAGAGCATTGGCGTAGTGTGTGTGAAGCCTTGGGTTTGATTCCATACCCCGCACTGAAAAGAAATAAAGGAAAGGAAAAAAGAAGGAAGGAAAGGACAGAAGGAGGACTCCAGGAAGGAAGGAAACACTGACAATATCTTTTATGGTCTTAGAAAATCTTTCTCTTTGACCAAATATTTCACTTCTAGAATTGATCTTAAAGATATAATCTTTTTTTTTTCTTTTTTTTTGGTACTGGGGATTGAACTTGGGTCCTTGCGCTTGCTCAGCAGGCAGCGAAACCACTGAGCTAAATTCCCGGCCCCAAGATATAATCTTAAATATGAAAAACTCATAATACCAAAAGATGTTCATCACAGTCCTTTACAAATTTATTAGTTTCTTTTTTCTTCACTGTTCTAACTTGCCATATCCCCTCCTCTCCATTGAATGACTTGCCTCCAAAGCCAAAGAACCTGGAAGCCATAAAAGCTGAATTAAAATAGGATTACCAGGTGGGCTTCAGGTTTTAAGTAATTACTACTTCTGCTAGTAATACTACTAAAATGATGACAGCCACGAGGAGGAGGGGCTAGTGATAACTTCGGGTGTGCAGGGCCTGGTCTTTGTAGGCTGTGTTCTCCACATTCATGAACAAGAGGGGCTGTAGGTGAGAATGCCAGTCTCGAGAAGGGGCTAACTCAGCGCACCCTTTAAACAGTAAGAACGCGGGAGAAAGGGACTGGGACCAGGTACTGAATTATTTTTTTGAACACGATCCTGCTTACTCATACATGTGGTCCAGTTTGTAGTTTGGAATTTGGATGGTTCCTTGTGCAAGAAGAAGAAAAAGGAGAGGAGCTTGGCACCTTTTCCACAAGATTACATGGCCAATAAGAGGCAGAATCTTCATTATTACCCAGGAAGATCTGATCACAATGTTATGCTTCAAACACTGCACAGAGCTGTGTGCTTGGAAAGCATACTTGAAACACAAATGTAGCAGAAATAAAAAATTGGTTAACTTTGCCTGAACTCTTTTTTTAAAAAATTAATTTTATTGGTACATTTTAGGTATACAATATGACAGTCATCATTGGAAATTTGTACCTTTACGTAATCTATCTTGGTTCTTGTTTTTTCCCCTATTCCCCTGCCCTCCCTTCAACCTCTCCTTCCCTCCCTATTTACAAAGACTTTGTTTCCATTTTTTCATTTTTTCTTATTGATTCCATTCCCTTCTTTCCTTATGAACTCTTGACCCAGTTGTAAAGGCTTGGGTACAAATCTTCAAAATTAAAAAGGGCTGGTGGTGTAGCTCCGTGGTAGAGTGCTTGTCTTGTCTAGCATGCAGAGTCCCTGTGTTTGATGCCCCAGGAGGATAAATAAATAAACAAATTTGATAAAATAGCTATAATTAATGAATGAAATAACCTTTAAGAAATGTATAACACTCCGGGATTTTCTTACCTTATTCAGAATACTGTAACTAGTATCTTAACATATTGGCCCTGATATATTTGCTGAGATAATGTTATTTTGTGTGAAACATAGTGAAGTTTTAGTACACTGGCGTTTAATTTTGTTCTCAGATTTTTAAAACTGTCTTTGGAAAGGAAATTTTAGTACTGATTATTAACGTAGCTCCAGTTAATTTGGTGATGACTTAGGCACCGTCTTCAGAAACAGTCAGTTACCATATCTTCTTGATGCTTATACCAGCATCTGGATATGTGATACCACTGAGAACTTTTGTCCTTTAAAACCGTAGAAACCTGGATGTTTATCTAGGATATAGTGCCAAATTTCCACCCTCTTCAATGAAAGAGAGAAGTGCAAAGGAAAGACCAGAAGCTGGAATGTCAGGGTACTATTGGGAAATGTCAGGATGGGGCTAGTTTTCTTTACTTTGCTCCTCCATTCATTAAAAAACAAAACCACAGTTTCTGTCAGTGCTGAAAGTACCCTCTCCTCCCTTTCTTTCCTCTTCAGCTGGGGGTAACCTGTGCTGGTGTAACAGGAAGCTCTTTGCATGGAGAATACAGATATTTATTATGCACTGCTGCACAGTTCCGGGCCAAGAGAAGGAAAACCTGGGTTTGTTTGGATCTCAGTCCTGCTGGGATCTCAGTCAGCATCCAGCAAGGAGACAGAACCCCCCCTAGTTATTGTTTTTTAAAGATTTTACCTAATTTCAGTTTTTAATAATAATTTTGCGGTAACTATGGATTCACATGCAGTTGTAAGAAATAGTGCAAAGAGATCCTGTGTATCCTTGATGGCGTTTCTCCAATGATAAACTCTTATAAAAGGATGGCTTTTCAGATCAGTACAAGCAAAATAAAGAACATGTACGCCTCCGCAGCATCCCTTTCCTGTCGCCTCAGCCCTGCCCACTCTGCTCCTGCTCTTTCACCCTCCGTTACAACTGATAGCCATGTAGGCGCTCACTCCCCTCTCCCTTGTGGTTGTTTGACTGGATTCTGTAGTGAAGCCATCTGGACCTATAGATTTGTTTTCTCTGGACTTTTTATGTTGTATGTTAAGTGTCCTTAATATTAATAGGGCCATTCATGTTATGTATTTAATATCAGTTATGGTAGTTTGTGTTTGTCAAAATATCAGTCCATTTCATCTTAAGTTCTCAAATTCACATGTTCATAATTTCCAGCGTTTCTTTACCATCTTTCTGTTGTCTGTAATGATATCCCTTTTTATTCCTAGTACCGGTATTATTTTCTTCTCTTTTTTGCTTTGCCAGTCTTGGCTATATGTTTGTCGGTTTTACTGATGTTTTCAAAGAACTACCTTTTGTCTTAGTGATTTTTCTCTCATGTGCTTCATTTCTGTTTTTTATTTCATTATTACTTCTGTTTCCTTTGGGTTTATTTTATCCTTGAATTGATAGCACAGATTATTAATTTGAAACTTTTTCTCATTTTTTTTTTTCTTTTTCTTTTTTGGTACTGGGGATCGAACTCGGGACCTTGTGCTTGTGAGGCAGGCAGTGGAACCACTGAGCTAAACCCCCGGGCCCCCCTTTTTCTCATTTCTTATGTAAGCATTTAGTGCTTTAAATTTGCTCTAAGCAACACTCTGTACCACAAGTTTTGGAGTTTTGCTTTCCTTCTGATGGATGTATTTTAGCATTTCCCTTGAGACTTACTCTTTGCCCCGTAGTTAGAAGCAGTTGGCCTCCTACCCGTATCCATGGGGTCTTCATGTGCAGTCTGCCAACTGTGGGTCACATATGTGAGAAAAATTATGTCTGTGGCAAACATGGACAGACTTTGCTTTTTCTACACTTGGTCTTACCCAAAAGGCCGAGAAGCGATAAACTTTGCTTTTTCTTATCATCGTTCTCTAAGCTATATAATAAATATTTATAGCATTTACATTGTGTTAGGCATAAGATCTAGAGATGATTGAGAATATATAGGAGATACACATAGATAACATAGAAATAGCGGGCTACCCGAGCATCTGTGGACCTTGTTTATCCACAGCGGGTGCGGGCATCAGTTCCCCATGGATTCTGACTAAGAAAAGACAGTCTGTTTCGTTTTCAGCTGATTGGAGATTTTGATTTGATAAAGCAGCATTTCACCTGCCAAAGTTAGAGCCACTTGGAAGCTGTATTCAAGATGTCGAGAGCTCTGTTTATTTATTTTATTCCAGTAAACCCTTAGGTTCCTTGACATTAAAATATGATTCCCAGTGAGAAATGTAGGAACTTTTTATACAGTTCACTGGTTAAAATGCTTTTTTGGTAGAATCATATTTTACATGGAACAGAATTCTGGTTTTAGACCGTGGTGAGGAAATTTGAGTGTCAGATTATCATAAACCAGTGTTTAAGATTCTAAAAACTTCATTGAGAAAGTGGAACCATAAAAACCTGCTTTTCAGAACAATGAAATAAGAAATTACTTTTTGTTGTACTGTTGTTTTTAAGCTGAATAATCAAAAATAGAATTTTTATTCTTACCAGTTTGTCTGTGTCAATATATAAATCATATTTTTCCATATCTTTTTTTACAGATTGAAATTGTCAAAGAAGAATTCAATGAACACTTAGAAGTAGTAGACAAGATAAACCTGATCTGTAAAAATCTACAATTTCATCTAAATAAAATGAAAACTTTTGAAGAGCCCCCTTTTGAAAAAGAGGCTAATGTTATTGTGGATAGATGGCTTGATGTAAGTGATAATTTTTTTGGCACTGGGGATCGAAGTCAGGACCTTGCGCTTGTGAGGCAGGCAGTGGAACCACTGAGCTAAATCTCTGCCCCAGCATGATAATTTAATTACAAATTTTATTTTATAATTAAATTGATATTTTAGGGATGTATCTTTAATATTGTTATCTAATTGAAAAAGTAAACTAAAAGTATTAAATAATATGTTTATAACTGAGGAATTAATTTCGCCCTGGAATTAGGTGCTACTATCAAGTGGATCTGTATTCAGATATAAAAATATATACTCTTTATTTAAAATAGTTAATATATTATTCACTTATGCAGGATATCAAAGTTCAGTTATATACTTAATGCATTTTTGATTGAATAGTAATGTATTATGAATTACAGACTAATAAGAGTTCATCTGTACTATATTTTCATCTGGATTTAAACATCTTTTTTAAATTATAATTTATTAGAATGAGTATTGTTTTCAGTTGGATATAAGCTATAGCAAACTGCTAAAGTTTTTTTTTTTAAGAGAAAGAACTTCATGATACATTAGAGCGAATGTTTTGTTGATGAATAAAGCAAATTATTTAGCCAGTTGCGGTAAATTCAAATTTTATTTTAAAGCAAGTGTTTGAATGAAGCAGTTGTTTTCATACTTCTCACCATTGCATGCATTTCTTCTGTTTTTAAACTATGGCAGATAAATGAAAAGACAGAAGAATACTATGAAAACCTTGGTCGAGCTCTGGCTTTGTGGGACAAACTTTTTAATTTAAAAACTTTCATTGATGAATGGACTGAAAAAGCCCTTCAAAAAATGGGCTCACACCCACTGACGGAGGAAGACAGAGAGAGACTGAGGGTAAGTCAGCGGGGCTCCATAGATAGTCTGTACAAAGTTGATCGTGTTAGAGTTTGCTTTCTTGGAGCAGGGAAAAAAAAATCACCAAGAAACGGAGTGTTTTATTCTTTTCATTATCCCTTCAGAGGGACTTGAACTATATTCATCCCTTTGCAGTATCCAGGCAAATGTTAGTGGATACTATTAATCTAGGGTTCATAGAAATTGAAGAAGGTTCATGGATAAAAATGACCTTTGATGGGAAAAGACTACATCTTTATTTTCACAAATGTCTAATCGAAATGTAGCATTTGCTTCATTTATGGCATAGGCAACATGCATAGTAGGATGAGCATTATATGTAACTTTGCTTTCAAGAAAATCACAGATACTTGGGGGATATTATTCAGTTCTTACAACTATTACCCTTATCACTTTGAAAGTATAGGATTTAGTAGACCCACTGCTAGATTGTGTAATTTAAGATATTAATCAAGAAACATGGAATATATATATCATAAATTGTTTTTAATATTTAATAAGTATAACCTAAACTAATTGGTTTCTTTGGAGTCCTGTACAATTTTCGGAGGTTTTATTTTTTTAATATTATTATGCAAGTTCTATAAGTTTTGCCAGATTTCCAAAGGGATATGTAGTATTAAAAAAAAAAAAAAGGTGAAGGATTCCTAGCAGAAACTCTAACAAAATGTTTCTAGGTGGTAGTGTAGACCTGAGGAGTAGGTAAACCTTTTCTTATCCTTTTTGTAAAGGGCTATATAGTAAATATTTTAGCTTCGTGGAGCATTCTGTTTCTGTCACAACTGTTAAAGTTTGCTGTGGTACCATGACACTCATAGGCTTTACAAAAATCTTTGGAAGTAGTTGGGTTGTGATAAAACTTTATTTGTAAAAATAGGCTACTATCCCTGAGGCTGCAGTTTGTTGGCCCCTTACCAAACCCATGAGTATAAACACCTTTCTTTTCTTTTTGAACAAAGACTCCCTCAAAAAGATAACAAAAGACCTAAGACTGAGTATCAACATGTTTACTTAGCTTTTTTTTTTTTTTTTGGTACCAGAGATCGAACTCGGGTCCTTGGGGTCCTTGCGCTTGGTTCCTTGCTCTTGCGTAGCAGGCGTCGAAACCACTGAGCTAAATCCCCGCCCCAAGGTTTTAGCATTTGGAAGGAATCAAAGTTATATCTTCTAATCCTGGGAAGAATTCTTTCTAATTGCCTTATTTCCATGTTATTAGTTTACGCCATAGAAAATTTTTATCTGAGGAGTTAAGGAAACAGTTGAATGGACCAGTTATATGTAATTCAGTGTTTGTGTTGTACATGAAGCTAATGCTTCAAGTCCCTGATTCTTGCTGTTTTATTCAATTTTTAATTTATATCGTTTCATATATTTGGAAAAAGTTTTGAAAATGTGTGATGACTTCCAGTTTCTTGGATATATTATAATAAAGTAAAGCCATGTTTCCCTAAGTACAAATGAACCATCTTCAAGAGACTTTAAATTTGTCTTGAACTGCATATTGCTTAAAAATCTGAAGATAATGATTATAAACTGTCAGGCACTTGGGCAAATTCTGCCAAAATTGTGTTTGTCATGATTTATATATACGTAGCTAAGAGATTCACAGTGCCCTTAAACTGGCCAGGTGTTCTTGTGGCACACACAGGTTTTGCCCTTCTCTGCTGTCTTCCAACTAGAATACTTCCCTGAGTTGAGTTAAAACTAGAATCCTTCCCTAAGTTATAAGCCTTTGCCTGAACCCAGACAGTGCTGGCTCTGAAACTCCCAGGGCTCTGCAAAAAAGCAAATGATTAGGAAAAATGTAAGGGCACTGTCAATTTCTGTAGATCAACAGAAGTCCACGGCTACAAGAAAATAAGGTATAAAATAAAAATATATTTTCCTATAAAATCATGTGTTTCAGGAAGAGTTACAAATGCATGAACAACAAACATTAGAATTTTCTAGAAGAGTAGCCGAAATACAGTTTCTGCTACAAAGTAGTGAAAAGCCACTTGAACTACAGGTAAGAGAATTTTTATTTCGAAGTTCCAATTAGAGATTTTTCCACAGCTTCTCAGATAGTGTTCATAAACTCAGCCCTCAAAATCCTAATATAAAATGAAATTAGGTTCATTATTTATTTGATTCCTGTATTAAGTCCAACCAAATTCTTAGGAGTTGGTGTTGGTAATTATATTTGTTCCTATTTAGGATGAATAACACTGTGTTTTTGCTTTCATTTTTTCTCCTTTCACTTGTATAGGCTTTGGTGGAGGGGCCGTGGTGGCTGTGCTTCCATGTGAAGCGACAGTTTCCTAGGAGTGTTTTGGGTGTAGGAAGCAGAATGTGACTGAGATCATCCCGGGCTTATTAGCTGCTAGGTGGAGGAAGGGGGAGGTTTCTGCAAGTGTGCTTTTCTGTTGTGTGACGAGATTTGTCTCGATTTTATTTGGAACAAGGTTCATAGTAGCTGAATACGAGCAGGCGTGGAGGTGGACTGTGCCGTTGACAGTGTGGCTGTACTGCCTACCAACTTTGTGATCTTGGGCAAGCTGCTTCACCTTCTTACGTTTTGTACACAAAGTGCCTGCTGCTTCATAAAAAATACTCATCTGTGCTAATTATTTCTCTACGTTATAATCTCATCTCTGTGTTTTTCTGGATATTTTATTTTAGCACCGAGAGTCATCACTTCAGTTTGTATGACAGATGAAACTTGTTTTGGGAGAAGGATTCCATTTAGTATCTGAGCAAAAAGTCCCAGGGTCGATTTCAGTGTTTTCCATGCCCTTTGAAGGCAGCTTTCCAATTACTGTATCAGTGATATAGAGAAGAATTTATTTCACATTGAATCGAAGCAATCACAGTTTACTTTCTAGCAATGCAGTTGTCTAGAAATCTAGGTGAGTGAGATACAGGGCAGTGCCTCTTCTGTTTTGTGATTTCAGGTCATGGAGTCGTCTGTTTTGAATAAGATGGAACATGTGAAAAAGTGTGTAACTGGGGAAGCCAACTGCTGCGCACTCAGTGAGAGCCCAGCTGAGCTGAGGGAGGATCTGGACCAAGCCAAGACTCAGATCGGGATGACTGAATCTCTCTTGAAAGCCCTGTCTCCTTCAGACAGCTTGGAGATCTTCACCAAACTCGAGGTGCGACCCTGCTGTTTGTCTTCCAGTGCTCAGACTTTGACGCTCTGGCCCTTCTATAGTCAGTAAAACAGGAAAAGGAAAATTGTGGGGTATAAACCTCAGAAAACCAGTTTGTGTATATTTCAAATGTTCACCTTTGAATGGTTTCATGGAGAGTAATTTTTTTATATTAAATTGCATTGTATTATACATTTATAGGAAAGAGTAAGCAAATCCAATGGAAAATCTAGACTTTTACAAAATGATTGAGAACTCATCTGCTTTCTGTGAATTGAGCTCATTTTAAAGACTTAATGGGGTTTGAGGGACATAGCTCAGTGCTGAGCACTTGTCTAGCACTCATAAAGCGCTGGTTCCTTCCCAAGCACCACCTCCCCGAAAATAACCCCCAAAAAACTAACGGTAGTTGTTTGTTTATAAATATAGGAGATACAACAGCAAATTCTACAGCAGAAGCACAGCATGATAATACTTGAAAATCAAATAGGTTGTCTCACTCCTGAACTCTCTGAATTGAAAAAGCAATATGAAAGTGTTAGTGATTTATTTAATACCAAAAAGAGTGTTTTGCAAGATCACTTTTCTACATTATTGAATGGTGAGTGTGATGTTCCTCTTACTTTATTGCTGGGAATCTTGAAGTGTACGTGTAGTGCTGTGAACACAAAAGCTAACTGAGCCTGACTTAGAGATGGCTTGCATAGACTGTATGTAAAGGGAAAACACTTACATCCATTTTGGGAAAAATACGTACTTGTTAATGCCTGGCACATAACAAGTAACATCTGTTTATTGCAAGCCCAGACTCTTCATTGCCTGAAAATACGTCACTGGTGAAGCTTCACCCTTTGAATTCAGTGACACTTGGCATGTGCATGCAGGCTGCTGTCCTTGCAAGTGTCTCTGGGGACCTGATATGTTTGGGAGGGACATTCAGTGTAGAAGATTCACCAGATTACTTTCCAGGCATTCTTAACTCTTAAAATGGAGTTTCAGAAAATGCCACCATACACACGATGGCATGAGAAGCAAGCACCAGGGTCTCTCCAGTAGCCGGGGTGTGAAATCCTGCCTGAAGACACAGCTTTTTTCTTTCCCTTCCTGCAGATCAATGCAAGAACTTTAATGACTGGTTCAGCAACGTTAAAATGAACCTTAAGGAGTGTTTTGAATCATCAGAAACAAAAGGGAGTGTGCAACAAAAGCTGCAAAAACTTTCTGTAAGATATGTATATTTTAATAAAAAATATCAAATATTGGCAGCAAAGAGCTGTATTTACGTTGAAAGGGTAATAATTTCTCTGACTTAATTAACTTTATTACATAAGGAAGAAGGGTCCCAGTAACTGGCTTTTTTCCAGGTATCTTGAAATTCTTTGCTGGTTAAGTGTGAAGTGGTGTAAGCAAATTCTGCTTTCATACTTGTTCTGAGATTTTTTTTTTAATGAATTCAATTTGTTAAAATTATATTTACTAAGAAACAAAGCCATCACCTAATTTGAACTTGGTTTTCTTTTCTTTCGTTCCTTTCTTTTTCTCTTTCTCTTTCTTACTCTTTCTCTTTTTCTTTCTTTTTCTCTCCCTCCTTCCTTTCCTCCCTCCCTTCCTTCCTTTCTTCCTTTCTCTCTCTTTCTTTCTTCCTTCCTTCCTTTTCTTTTCTTTCTTTGCTCGCCCTCTCTCTCTCTCTCTCTCTCTCTCTCTCTCTCTCTCGCGAGCGCGCTTTCTTTCGTCTTGTTATTTGGTTCAGGCTGGCCTTAAACTCACCCTGTAGTCTAGCTGGCTTTGAACTCGCAGCAGTCCTCTTTCCTCAGCCTCCCGAGTGCTAGGATTTCAGGTGTGCACCACCACGGCCAGCTAATTTGGACTTTAAAATCCCTTTACTTTCTTGAAAAAGATCTCCTGGCTTCTTATAAGTGTTTTCCCAGTCATATTTCTTTTAAAAATTGTAGTCGCAATTTAATACATTGCTGTCAGAGTATGACTGAAATAGAAATTTACACGGGAGAGCGTGTAAATTGCCCTTGGCACCCTTAAATCTTGATCACTTAGGGTAGATTCCCTAGTGCTGTAATGGTTGTGTTTGTTCTTTTTGAGAGGAGCTCTCTCTGATGTTGCTCAAGCTGGCCTTGAACTCCTGGGCTCCAGTAAACCTCCCACCTCAGCCTCCCAGAGCTGAGACCACAGGTGCGCTCTGGCTCTGTTCTGGTGCTAAGTCAGGTCTTGGAGCTTATTGCTGGCACTCGATGTTCTCTGTTTAGTCCACTTTCAGTGATAGGGTTACTTACTAAGAGACTCACCCTTCTTTTGTTTTCTGTTTTTAACCCCCTGGTCCCCCAGCCCTTGACACTCAAACCTGGAAAGAAGCACTGGGGGAAAAAATCTGGTTTGGGCTAATTTAAATGAAGACTAGTCTGTTTAGTTTCATGTATTAATTTGCCAGAAGGGAGCATGTGTTTAGAAGTTGTACAGAGCCAGGATAGGAAATTGTAGCTTTCTGCCTCAATCCTAGAGACCTTCATGGTGGCACTGAATTATTTTGTTTGATATTCTCAGAAATTCTCATGCCAGTGCAAATATGCACCCACTCTAGCGCTATTGCAGGTCGCCTGCCTTAGAATCAGCTGGTGTCTTCGCAGTCCTGTACGGGATGCTCAGAACACCTTCTGCATGTGTCAGTGCACTGGTTTGGAAAGTAAAGGGGTGGCAGAGACTAGATGTAGACTTTCGAGTAGACTGTAATTAAATTCTTGTCATTCTTAAGGAATTCTTGACTCTTGAAGGAAGAAGCAGTAAAATAAAACAGGTAGAAACGATGCTGCAGCACGTGAAGAAGCACCTGCCCAAAGCTCATGTTAAGGAACTTAACAGCTGGCTTGTGAGTCAGGAGTTTGAATTAGAAAAAATGGAGTCCATATGCCAGGCCCGAGCACAGGAACTTGAAAACGACCTGCAGCAGCTGCTGAGGTAGGAGCAGAAGTGGTGTGTAAGTAAGGTTTTCTAGGGATTTTGTGATTTTTAGTGTTCTTCCTCTCTGCAGCATACACCAGGATATAACATATATGCAAATTTCACAAGTAACATGGATTCCAGGGGGGACCGGTTCTAAGAATCCCCATGAATGCCACGTCCCCAGCTGCTTAAGCACCTCATGTGAAATGGCATTATATTTGCATTTACTTATGTGCATCCTCCTGTATACTTTAAATCATTATGTAAATGCAGTATAAGTAGTCATTATACTGTATTTTTCAGAGAGAAAAGTGTGTACGTGTTCAGTAAATGCAATTTTTTTCCCAAATATTTTTTTATCTGTAGTTGTTAGAATCCATCAATATGGCAATCATGGATACAGAGAATCAATTGTAATTTAATTTACTTTTGTGGTGCTGGACATTGAACCCAGGGCCTCTTACATGCGAGGCAAGTACTCTACCTCTAAGCTATACCACAAACTCCTGACTGCATTTTTTTTTTTTTTTTGGTTGTTTTGAGACAGGGTCCTGCTATGTAGTTGGGCTTGAACTCACTATGTAGCCCAGGCTGGCCTTGAACTCTTGGCAATCCTTCTGTCTCAGCCTCCTGAGAGCTGGGATCACAGGTGTGCACCACCATACCCAGAGTGACTGTACTTTTAAATTCAGGTTTGGTGCCAGGACTATAAAGAGTTCAGGGGAATCTGACCTAATATGGCAAAGGTTCAGGGGATAGTCCAAAAATATTTTGTTTGTTTCCTGTTCTTTATGATATATTTGTATTGTTCATTGTTTTAATAAATTCTATGTAATAAGGACAATTATTCAGACTTTTATATGTTACAAGTTAACTTTTTTCTAACAAATAAACACAAATGATAAAAACCTGATTGATTCACATGGGTCACGACCTTCTTCTCTTCGGTATAGATACGGCACTGATTTTGTATTCTAAGCTGTGTACTGTTCTTTTAGATTGCAGGAAGACTGTAGAAATCTGAGCAAGTGGTTGGTTAATCAAGAAGAGAAATGGAAAGAAATGGAAGAATCAGGAGAGAGAGCTGAGCTATTTTGCCAAGCTCTAGCGAGAAAGAGGTATCATGCTCTTGTGGGAGAGGTGTTACTTAGGAATATGATTTCTTCCATTATGTATTAGTGGCTCCTATAAACTTTTATCAATGCTATTTGGAAATTACAGGGAACAGTTTGAATCCGTGGCCCAGTTGAGCAACTTTTTGAAGGAACATGGACTTACCGAGGAAGAAGAAATAATGATGGAATCAACACATTTGATTGATAGATATCAGACATTATTGAGACCATTGGGTGGAATTGAGGAAGAGCACAAGTTACCATCTGCTGAGGCCCAGAGCTTTAATGATCTTGCACATGATGTAATTCATTGGATAAAGGAGATTAAAGAGTCGCTTATGGCTTTGAATTCATCTGAAGGCAAAATGCCACTTGAAGAAAGAATCCAAAAAATAAAGGTATAACTAGACAGTAATTTTGAGAGGTCAGAGTGAACTCTAATTTTGAAAAGATTTACTACAAAGCTGCAAAGATTTGTTTCTTAATGGAAAATAGGATCACTGTGGAATGGTTGAAGAAATTCATATCACTAAACTCACAAAAGAGATGGCTTGTGATAGGTCTAAAATTATTTTAATATATATGAAAGAGAAAGTATCTTTTCTTTGAGAGGGCGGTGCCCAGTTATTGTCTGTCTTCACTGCAGGCAGAAAGATTGAAATAAAGACGATGGATCAGAGCCATTGCAGATGGGGATTTACTAGGATACAAAAAGAGTCTGTGTCAGGACATCGGGGACATAGGTAGCGTCTAGGACAGGAACAGAGAAGCCTTCTTCGGAGTGGATGTGAATGTTCAGTAGATACCCGGTGGATATGAAGGGCAGAGAGGCCTCGTGCTCCTAAGAGCCCCCTTCTGTCCAAGTGGAGAATTGCTAAACATTGTGAGTGAGAAGTTTGAGTGAGAAACCTTGTGAGTGAGAAAAATGACAGAAGCACATGTGCGCATTGAAGTTACATCAATTAAAGCATTATCAGAGGAAGAAATGATCAAGAATAGTGAGCTAGAAGAGTTGATGACTTCCTCAAGTTAGCACGATCATTTGGGATTATGTCTGAATGTTTTCTGAGGGAAAGTGAACCTTGAGTCATTTTTCTAAGTTGGGAAGAACTTAATTGAAAAGACAAAGGAAGAGAAAGACAGGGAACAAGAATTAGGTGTCATGGTACACAAGAGTTGCCATAAAGAACACTGTTTTCCTGTTAGTCTGTTCTTGGATGTACAAAAACATCTTGTTTACATTGTTATCCTATCTCCTTTTGATAGAAGTGGATAGAAAGGAGGAGTTGACTCAAGTTTTTGGCATGTGAAAACAAGAAGGTAATTGAAAATCAAGAGGCACGCAGGAAGTCAGGCATGGCAGCATGCACCTGTAATAATTAGCTCTTGTGAGGCTGAGGCGGGCGGATCTAGAGTTTGAGGCCAGCCTGGACTAAATAAGAAGATGGTTGTCTCAAACACAAAACAAAACTGAGCAGGAATGCAGTCAACATAAACTGATAAATGTCTACTGAGAACCCACCCTTTATAATGTATAAGGAGACATCCTTGTCTTTGGGGCCTGTGTAAGAATCAGAGGGTTTTTTTGTTTTTGTTTTTGTTTTGTTTTTTGGTACCGGGGATTGAACTCGGGTCCTTGCACTTGCGAGGCAGGTGGCAGAACCACTGAGCTAAATCCCCGGCCAAAGGGATGTTTTGACTTATATTCTGCAGGTAGAATCTCAGTATAAGGTTTACAAACAGAAAAGTACCGTATGTAGTAATATCCCTAAGTAATGCAAATGAAATAAGATCTTTGTTCTGTTTTTCAGGAAATCATTTTACTCAAGCCGGAAGGGGATGCCAGAATACAGGCCATCGAGAGACTGGCGCAGGGTTGTGAGGCCCCTTCGGGTCAGGTCCAGGAGACGGTGGCCAACATCCTCGGGCAGTGGGACCACACGCTGCACTTGGCCAGCACGTACCTGAGGTAAAGGGCACGCGAGCTCCACACTCGCCTCGTTCTTGTTGGTGAAGAACATGGTGAAGCCATGACAAGTGTGCTTTGTCTGCTGCCTGGGATTGGATAAAGTGTCTATCGGCGGGAAGTCAGGGGTGTCGGGGCACCCACAGTGGCCCAGACCACTGCTGTGACGCTGGGCCACAGCCCTGTGGCTTCTTAGGAACAAAGTCACCTCTCCTCCTTCCTCCTCACCAACCCCTGCATCTCCATGGTATCACTGTAGAGCAGCGAATGCTTCCCAGTGTTTTCCTGAGAAATTCTTAAATGTGTAAACATGGATAAGTGCTGTCCGAATCCTACAGATGTGTTTTCTGGAGAAAATTTCCTGTCGCATCTGCAGTGGTACACTTTATGTTCTAAAATGTGAATCTTGTGTTTTCCTAAGGAGATAATAATATCACAACAAATTTAAATTATATAAAGCATCAACCAGTTACTTAATATACAGAATGCTTATTTTACTTTGATAAAAAAGTAAAAATATAGGCTTTTGTATTTAAAAGTAATAAAAAACTATTGGAGCTACTTTGAAATATTCTTTGGTCAAACTGTATAACAAAACGTGTTATGTTTTAGTAATATTCCATTGCTATTTTGAGTTCTGAGCTAAACATGGTGCTATTAAAATGTTACAGTAGGGGCCGGGGATTTAGCTCAGTGTTCCACTGCCTGCCTTGCAGGCACAAGGAGCCGAGTTCGATCCCTGGTACTAAAAAAAAAAATAATGTTACAGTGACAGAAGAGCCTCTGGGAAAAATGTATATTAGTATTATTTTAATGCTATTTATTATAATGTGTGCTGCATTACAATATGAAAAATCCCCTCCATTTGCTGTCGTCTCATTTATAAATTATTTGGTGAAATTCAGCCATCAGGAAAAGCTTCTACAAGAAGGAGAAAAGTACTTGCAAAGTAAAGAGGACCTGAGATTAATGCTCATAGAACTAAGGAAGAAACAGGAAGCCGGTTTTGCCTTGCAACATGGCCTGCAGGAGAAGAAAGCCCAGTTAAAAATTTATAAGAAATTCCTCCAGAAAGCCCAGGATTTGACATCCTTGCTAAAGGAGTTAAAATCTCAAGGAAATTACCTGTTGGAATGCACTAAAAATCCCAGTTTTAGTGAAGAGCCATGGCTGGAAATCAAACATCTCCATGAAAGTCTTCTTCAGCAACTACAGGTGAAGTGGACAAGTGCAGTTTTAAGTGATTGCTACAGTTGTTAGGCAAGATGTGGATATAGAACCCCTTTTTTGGCTACTGTTTGATGGGTAGACCAAAAGCTTTCAAAATTTATAATTTTTACTAGAAAGTGCTGACTCTCAAGGCCACAGGAGTCAGTAGTCTCACTAGTGAAGTCCACTGTGTGTTATTTAAGGATGGCACTGTTTTCTTTCATCAAAGTTCCCTCCTTGGGATTGGATGGGTTTTCTTAAGGCGTCTGTATGAAGATGACAGTGTCAGTGTGGTCTGTCTGTCCATCTGTCCATCCATCCAACCCCCCACTTGTCCCATATCTACCTTCTCTTCAGTGCCCTCCCTTGTATTTTTCAACATGATCTGCAGTAGAAGAGTTGAGAGAAAAGCTTATGATGAGAGGGTAAATTCTTTCATTAGAAATGTTTATAATGCTTTGCACACTGAAAGCTGGGTTCAGTGTAGGGACTTCCAGGGTAAAAAAAAAAAAAAAAAAAAAATCCTGCTTATCCAGATATTGAGGGTTGGGCAGATATACTCGCTTAGGGGCCAGGGATTTAGCTCAGTGGTTCTGCCACCTGCCTCACAAGTGAAAGGTCCTGAGTTCAATCTCAGGTACAGAAAAAAATATATATATAAATATATATGTGTGTGTGTGTGTGTGCGCGTATAAAACTCGCTTGGCTGTTTATTGTTTAGTTTAATAGTTGCTGCCTTTCTGTTTAGTAGTAATCATCTCCTTTCCTTATCCCAGTGCAGGAACCTGAAGATGGTTTTGCTCTTGATTCAGGCTTACTTTGTTCCTTAAACACAAGATTTGAGTTCAATTCTTAGGAAAGGAAACTGGGGTTAGGTTGCTCTCATACAGTCTTATTTCTAAGTATGAATTCTTGATTTTAAAGCAACAGGTAATTAAGGGACCTGGTTTATTATGGACGTTTGTGATTTAATGATATAATTTGTAGTCATTTCATTTTGAAAACCTCTTGACAAATATATTTTCTTTAGGAAGGAAATGAAGGCATGGGAGAAACAATTGTTTTTAATAAGAGTCATTTTCGGGAGAGATGGAGATTTTTGCAGTGAAATATCTCAAACACTAAGATCTTTAGTTAAGAATTCTGGATAAATTGTGGGCATATTCTTGTTTCAAAATGAAACCTTATAAATTTTTTTCCATTAAGTTTGTTGGTACATTTTAGGTACACAATACAGTTACATTCATCATTGGGATCTTGTACCTTTACATGATGCATCTTGGTTCTTATTTTTTTTCCCCTTCCCCTGTCGTCTCTTTAACCCCTCCACCATTCCCTATTTACAAAGACTTTGTTTCCATGTTTTTCCTTTTCTCATATTTTTTCTTTTCCCTTCTTTCCTTTCCCCTACCCCTCCCACTTCCCCTACTCCTTTAGATGTTGAAACCTTATAAATTAAGCACTTCTGAATTGTATAAATATGAATTATAAGAATACATGAAAATTCAACTCAGTAATTATTTGTAAATTGTCGATGGTTTTATTTTCAGGATTCTGTGCAAACATTGGAGGGTCATGTTCAAGAACACCACTCATACCAAGTTTGCATCACAGACCTAAATACTACATTGGACAGTTTCTCTAAGGAATTTGTCAATTTTTCTGATATACCTGAGGATCAAACAGCAGCTGAGGACAAATTGCAGAAACTGCAGGTATTAATATCCAGACGTATTAATTAGACATTTAAAAAATCAGTATTCATTACAACTTGACTAATCATTGTCTTTGGTCAGAAATTCAAGTGTTATTAAGATGACTCAAGTAATAAAGGTCTAAGCAGTCATTAGAAAGTAGCACATTTTTCTTTAGTGGGCAGACGTGTCTGTGACGTGAGTAGAGCAGTACTCTGACTCAGTGGATATTTCTTGGAGATGATTCTACTGGTGACTCCTCTAGTTAAGGAGTATTTCTCTTCCAAAGAAAATACAGTGTTTCCAGGGGATTCCGAGGGGGAAGAGGGTGGATGGGGCATAACAAGGGCTCAGGAGAAATGTTTCAATTTAGCATTCTTCATCATTGCTGTAGAGAAGTTGAATTTTTGCCTTATTAATGCTCATTCTCCTGGTTTAAATTAAAGCTCTCTCTAGATGTGGGGTCTCTAAGACCCTCACCCTCAAGTCTGCACTAGTGACCCTTCTACAGTGACAAGCATAGCCTTTACCTGCACCTTTTGAACACATCCTTGTGTTCTCCTTGTTTGTCCAGCTGGCTTGGCAGGCCTGTGACGCGTCCTCTATGTGAAGAAAGAGTGCAGTGTCTCCTCAGCTACTCATTTCCTGTTCCTTGTCTGGCGAGGGTATAGGAGAGGACCATGGCACAGTGCAGGCCTGGGGATTTCTCTTTGCTTCCTCGTCAAGAGTATGGGAGTGAAGCAGACTTCTCCAGAGTAGCTGGACATTGAGGTAGGGCTGCCACCCTGATTAGCAGTAGTAATTTGTCAAGTGCCGTGGGCTCATCATGTCCTGGGTGCTGTGTCGGACATGAGAAGGATATGGCCTGAACCTCACCTGGAGAGGCTCGGGTTCTTGTTGACAAATTAGGATACAACCTTTTGCTTTAGCTGGAGGGGACCTCAGATTACAGCCCTGGAGAGGTCTTACAAGGTCATACAGGGCAAATGACAGAGCAGGCACTTACCGCTGATTCCTGGCCTCACTCCGCGAGGGCTTTTTCTTGCTCTCCAGTGACATCTGTACTTGAACGTCACAATAATTTTCAGTTCTTTGTGGCTAGATAATAAATAAAACCACCACATTTTCTCTATCCCCTGACTCCCCACTAAGGATCCTGCTTCCCTGTGTTCTGAGGTGGTGAGATTTTTCATCATTTCTTCAAGCTTCCAATTCAGAAACCTGGTGTCCTTTCCTGGACTCTTCCAATCTAGGCAGATTCCAGATGTTGTTGTTCCTACCTCATCAGCCCATTATTACTGCTTAAGACCAACTCTTATCTCATATATCCCTGCATTAGGTTTCTGTATGGGCTCCCTGTCGTGGCTCTGGATCTTCCTAAAAGGAAACGATTATTTTCTACCATAAAATGGTTCAGTAACCTGTGCCTATTAGTATAAATCTTTTCACATTCCATTATGACTCTTGGTTTCTGTATGTTTCTGTACCACTAAACTGGAACTTGAAGGGACTGTGTTTCACTCATTGAAACTGTACAGCTTCAAAACCTATCCTCATGCTTGGCTGTTGAATGAGTGAGTGGATAAATGCAGGAATGCTTATTTCCCGTTTGGTTAGTGACCATGATACCTGGCAGTGGCCGCCTGCTCACTAAGGCTTGTTCTGTTTCAACAGTTGAGACGGGGCTGTCACCCTCAGGGTCCTTTTGTGTCTAGGGTTTTCAAATCAGCCCCTTCATTCATGGATCTAGGACCTAGCGATAGACTTCCTACCATATTTGAGGTTGTGATTTCCTGTTACCAGCCTGGTTTCCTGTTACCCACAAAGTTGTGCTCTGAAGTTTAAATGTTAGCATTAGATTCATGTGGGCATATTCTAAATGATTCTTTTATTCTTTTTAATACCACAGCAAGCACTTACTTATTAGAGTGTTTTGATTTATAAAAGGCTGTATCTGGAACAAAATGGTCAACATATCTTTTGATTACTTCTCATGTTTTAAGAACTGTGCTGCAAGCATATCCTGTGTTTCTTCTAAAATCTGTTTGAGAATTTTAATGTCCAGTGGAACACTGATTTAAATTTTGCCCAGAATTTCTTCTTTGTGCTATGGATTGATAAGTCTTCCAGTGTGTTTCCACTAGTGAAGGAATACCATGTGATTTACAAAAGACAATTAACTCTTTTGACAATTGAATGGGAATACTTTTTATAACAATCTTTCCTCCACTCATAGGATCTGGAGAGTAGACTCGGTTTACAAGATGACACATTAAAGAAGATTTTAGCGTTAGCAGAATCCATCAATCCAAACACATCTTCAGCGGGACAGAAGATTATTAAAGATGATATAAAATCACTTAAGCATAAACAAAAAGATTTGGAAAACAGGATTGAGTTTGCTAAGCAAGAGACTGAAAATCATCTCAACAGCCTTCTCAAATCAAAATGTTCAACAGAAAAGCAGGAGAAGTCTGCTCTGCTGAGCGGGGAGGAGCAGGCCACTTCTGATGTGCTGGAGTCCACTCAGGACTCCATGGCGGAGGGAAAGTTGGAGGGAGACTGGGAAATAAACAAGGTAAGTACTTGTGATTACAGTTTCTATGACTTCATGTCTGAAAATGAAGAGGTATTTGGTTCTGCAAAGAGGGTTGTGAATCAAGTGTTCTGATTTCATAATTAAATCCTCAATGTCCTGGTTATTTATGAAGCTCACTTGTGAAAAGAGCCCTTAGAAAATAGTCCAGGTTTCAGTGGTGAAATATTACTGTTCAGTCTGTTTAAATGACAGTCATCAATTTAGATTTATTATTCTCACTGCTATGTAATCAGATACAATTTCTTGGGTCAAGAGCACAAAGGCAAATTAGGAAAGGCAAAAGAAAAGAAAATGTGCTCTACCCGTTTCCTCAATCAAAAAAAAAGTTCAAGAGTCCAGTTTTTGTGGGGTTTTTTGGCAGGAGTGGAGGTGATTTTGTGGATGACATCAAACTGTTGGAAAGGAATAGGTTGCTTTATTTTCTTTGTTAACCCTAGACTGCAAATATACTTTTTTATTTATCATTCATTTATTTATTTATTTTTGGTACCAGGGATCGAACTTGGGTCCTTGCACTTTCGGGACAGGCAGCAGAACCACTGAGCTAAATCCCCGGCCCTTGCAAATATACTTTTAAATGTTGTCAGATCATTTAGGATGAAATTATCAACTTTCTCTTAATTTTCCCTGGGTAGAAAGAATAACGTTTTCTTAATTTCATTCTAAACAATCAAAATGCGTGCATTCCCCTGGCTCATAAAATGAATGCTTGCAGATTGTGTGGGGAGGGCACAGAGAGTGCGGCCCAGCTCACTGGGCGTGGAAGCCGCTTCCTGCCGGCCTCTCATGGTGCAGGCTGAGGCGAACAGGGAGGCCCAAGCGCTCAGAGCAAGAGCTCATGATGGGATAGGGAATTGTGTACTTGGTTGGGCTTCCTGGAACAAATACGCATGGAAGATTAAAGGAACCAGCTGAGATTTTTCTAGAAATGTGTAAAACAAAGTTAATGCCAGAGGAGCCTGTTTCTAGCCATCGGGAGTATCTTTTCATAAATCCCACCATATTAGGTGTTACTAAGTGGTTAAAGCCTCAGGTGGTGAAACTCTTGAGATTATACCGCGGACCCTCAAGTTACGACCAGACTGACATACAAACATCTTGGGTTAATTAGGTTAATGGAAGATTCACCTACCTTTTGTTATCTATAGCATATACCCAGGTAAACATCCACATCTCAGCTGTATTGACTTAAAACCAACTTGAGTTACAACCAGCCCTCGGGAACCAATTGAGTTTGCAAGTCAAGGGTCCACTGTATATGTAAAAGAAACTTTCCTAACAGCGTTTAAAGTGGAATCAGTAACAAAAAAGGAAAAGCATGAGTGGTTCACATGAGGTAAATTACGAGAGGATGTACTTTCATGAAATTGTGTAACTTCTAAACTAGCTTCTCAGACCCACTTCGACCATGAGTCCCACAATTCAGAAGAGTATATACTGAAGACTGTATAAAGATCATAACTCAGTATGTTTTCTTAACTTAAGTTTTTTACTTAATCTTGAATGATAATCTTGAATGATAATTCAGGATACATCATTGAAATGATTTTTTTTCAGAGCAGATGAAAGGATTTAAGTCTGCCAACAATTTTCCTAGGTCTGGATTACAGAAAACTAATTTTAATTCTCAAGCAAGATTTTTCTTCTACTCTTTTGTAACATGAATTGTTTTTTCTGAATCTGTGCTCTTATTTTTCTATCATAAGTACTAGCTGTGCCTAGTTTTTTGTAATATGAGACTGTGCAGCATTATGTAACATTACACTGTGAAAGGTCATGAGCAGTTTCAAGGTTCAACATCAGTAAATGAGATCAAAGATCCAATGTACGCGTGTGTAACATGACTAGTGCTTTTAGTGGCGGTGACTGAAACAGGACTCTGAATATAAGGAATACAAAAAGCCATTTAAAAAAAGAATTTACTAAATTATAGATCTGATTATATAAAAACTATTGTAATAGTGAAAATAAACAATAATCCATTAAAACGTTTATTGAGCCCTATCTCTAATTGTTCATTTAGAAAGTGGGGGTACAGTTGTGACAGCTTTAAATCTAATACTAAGCAGATAAATATTTACTGCTTCACCCGCCTTTTGGAATTGAGAGATTATTTTATTATATTATTTTACATAGTCCCCAAAGTTTTAGAAAGTTTTTATTTTCTCTAGAAAATGCCATTAGTCTTTGTTGAAGGTGTGACTAAAAATTGCCATCATGCTGGTGGTAAAGGTCTGTAATCATAGCACTCTGGGAGGCCAAGGCAGGAGGACTGCAAGTTCAAACCCAGCCTGGGCAATTTAACATCTTCGTGAGACCTTGTATCAAAATAAAAATTTTAAAATGGCTGGAGATGTAGCTCAGTGTGAAGACCCTGGGCTCAGTCATGAGCACCAGAGGGAAAAAATTGCCATGATAGCATGTACATATTTGAATCTGTTGCTAAGAATTTCATTTGGTAGAAATTGAGGAATTACTTTAGATCTGAACCTTTTGTGGACTTTTTCTTTGATATTGGAGATACTAATGCAGGCCTGAGGGCAGAAGTTGCAAAATCTATTCTGAAGGGTATGATGGTCCAGTATAGCATCCACTGCATTGTAGGATACTACATAATTCTATAGTAGTGAGTTTCTGAGTTTTAAAAAGTGAGCAGGCAGAACTCTCCCTCTCCCTCCTTTCCATATAGGTTATGTGAAGTAACAAGTTAGGAGGCGCTGAGCAGTGAAGACTCTGATCTTTTGGGATTTAGGTATCCATCCATAAAGGGAAATGATCAAGACTTAAAAGCATGGAAACTCATACATTCCTGCTTTATTGATCCTCTAAAAATCATAAAGCAACACTACAGCCTAATGGCTTCCCAGTGGTCTTGTTTGGCCCGCTCTTCCCAAGTGGCAATCCCCACAACATACTTGCTTTAAAAAGGGAAAAAGCCCAAACAGCAAAACCCCAGAAACCTTTGTAATTACTTTTTAAAATTTCTTGTCATTTTGTATGATTGTTAGTATTTCTGAATAGGATTTTATCCTTTTTGAAAGTTTCTGGGCGGTAACATCTTGTTATGTAAGAAGGCATCCATGGGTAAATCCCGGAAGATGGATGATCACACGTAGGCAGAATGTGCAAGGCTTCCGGCTGTGGTTGAGGAAGCAGAGAGGATGGAGTCCTAGGGTAACTGCTGCCGAGTTCTGATGTTGCTTATCCTGGTAACTCTGTCAATGTGCGCGGATAGGTCACGTGTTCACTCTGGCTTCTTAGGGTACTGTGTTCTTTCTGGCTCATATGGAAGGCCTGCTTCTTACCGCAGAGATTTTTTTTATAATCCAAGATTCAGTATTTTGCAGGATAAATCACAAGTTTTTGCCATCTAGAAGCACTATGCATTTGAAAACAGGCTCCTCCAGCATCCTAAACTCTTAGGCTAAAGGAGGATTTTAGAAATTTTCTGTCTTAATCTTTCTATTTCAGGCAAGGGGATGGAGTTCCAGCCAAGCAGGAGCAAGAACCCTTGCATACTGTATACGCAGTCTGATCCTCAGAACTTTACCCCACTGTTCTGCAAGCCATGTTACATAGGTAGAAAATTAACGTCTAAAGAACTTCTAGGAATGTGAGGTTAAACAAATTGAAATAGATTTTCTTTACCATATAACCTTTTAGAGCCCCTAATGCACTCGTGTGCTGTGTGACCTTTACAGAGCTCTCCTGAGTGTTTTCTCATATAATTCCAGCACTTCTTTCCAATCTCTCCACTCTCAGCCCCAGCCAAACTTCTTTCTGACATTTGTAACTGACGTCTGCTCAACCCCTGCTAGACTGACAGATTTTCAGTTTCTTTCCATTGCACATCACAACTCACCAACTATACATATTGACAATAGAAGGCTAAATAAAATAGTTTCATTTTCTTCCCTCTGGCTTGAATTTATCAATATATCCATTCATTGAAAGGTTATTTAACAGGCAGTGAGAATTCAGACACAGACACGGCCTCCGTTCTCTTAGAGCTTCTAGTCTGGGGTGGGTACTCAATCAAGTAATTACCATAAGGACACTCTATAATTGCAGGAACTTAAAGGAAGGAACCCAGCTCCCTGTTGGTCTTTAGCAACACAAGCTGACATGGGCAGTCCGGTCAGAGAGCTTCTGTCAGGAAGCAGCCTGTGACCTGAGACCAGCTGGAAGGGGCAGCTGGAGTTAGCAGAGCTGGATGGAGGAAATGTGGGAGGCAGTGGAGGTTTCTAGAAGCTGATTAAGGGCATGGTGGCTGGAGCACAGAAATGAGGCCTGAGAGGTGGGCATGGCTGGCTGAGTCACCAGGGCCTCCTGGGTCACATTAACATGGCAGACATTACGCCAAGAGTGATACTGAGAGAACACGGCAGTCTTTGGTGTGGACTCAGCTGCTCTTTGGTTTTGCATCTCATGGTGACAATACTTATTCTTAGAATTGTTTGTCACTGTTTTGTATCTGCAGGCTTTGGAGAAAAAAGAACCATCCTCCAGAGCTGGCGTGACACTCGGTCCCCCTGTTGGCAAGATCCGATTGGTGCACTTAGGCTTCTGGCTGTCACAGTGTTACCAGAGTCAGGGGCCCTGGACTAGAAAAGGGACAGTGACACTGCTATTGACTGGCCCCTTTTGGCTGTCTCCCTGGGGGGAATAGAAACTAATCCATTTTGGAGAAGAAATCAATAACTGTGTATTGAGAATCAAAAGGATCATATGCAAGAACTTTACAAGGATGTGTGTCACAGCAATACATATGATCGGATGAGCTGGAAACAATGTATTTGTCCATAGTAGCCTCACAGATAGATAAGTCATGTTTATTATTCATTCTTCAGAACATCGACGAAGCTGAAATGGCTACCTTAAATGTATACCTGTTAACCTAAATTTTGAAGTATACTGCTGAGTGGAACAAATTATTAAATGATACATGTGTGATTCAAGTTTCTGTAAGAATTGAAAAAATGGGCCAGAGATTTAGCTCAGTGGTTCCAGTGCCTGCCTTGCAAGCACAAGGTCCCAAGTTCGATCCCCAGTACAAAAAAAAAAAGTTCAAGATTTGAAAAAACACATAAGACAACACTACATGAATCTATCACATGTAGTAAAAATGTAACAGCATGTGTGCATGGACTTCAGAAGAGTGGCTGGTTCTAGAGAGGAAAAGATGAAGAATTGAGTGTTTTCAGACATGGTGTTTGTTATTTTTGTTCTTTTCGTATATTTGAAATACTTTATAATTTAAGATAAAGTACTTCAAATGAGCCTCCAAAATCACAATAAAATATAGCCAAGGCTTGTGAGCAAGGGCTGACTGTTGGTGAAAGAACTCTGCAGGAGCCAATCGTGGCCTGGAGTCTGGGTTCCACCCCCTGGCATGAGCATAGGAATGTTTGTTGCCCTTTAAATTTGAAATGTTCATTTGAGGGATTCTGTTGGCTTTTCTATCAAGGTAGAAAATGGCCTTTAGGGCTGATGAATGAATGATGTTTGGGGCCAGCTCCAGGTAGAGAAGTGTCCTTTCTCTGACCAGTAAAGGCAGTCGCTGCAGATGGTGGAAGTGTTTCCATGTAACGGTGGTGCTCAGGTGAGAGACCGTGGCTCTGGATTCTCAGGAGGTGACTGATAACAGATAATGCCCTTCTAGGGCCTAGGATCTAGGCTCTTGGCTCATATGTTCTGTGCCCAGGTGCATTTGTCGAGTTTGTTAGGACAGAGTACACATCAGGTGGAAAGGAGCCAGATGCCTGGGCCACAGGCAAAACCTCAGAAACCTGACTTATGACACGTGTGCTGTGGGCCCTTTTACCTTTCCTCTCACATTCTTCCCCGATCTTTCGTGTGAGGTGTCACCCTCCCTTTAGAGTTTCATCATTTGCAGCCGGTGTGGGTGTGTGTGCGTGCGCGTGCGTGCGTCCGTGCGTGCGTGCATCCGTGTGCGTGTGTGTGATGGTTCTGGAACTGAACCACGGCCTTCTCATTGAGCTACCTCCCCAGCCCTTCTATTTTTTATTTTGAGACAGGGTCTCCCAAAGTCACTAAGTTGCCTAGGCTGCTCTTCAATTTCCAGTCCTCCTGCTTCAGCCTTTCCAGGGTGCTGGATTTACAGCCGTGCACCACCACACCTGGTTATTTGCAACTTTTTCAAAGAAGTGACTTGTGCTGTACTTCAAAACCAATACCAACCAACTTCTCTTACCAGTTAGAATTGTGAAACTCTAGACAGTTTATTTACAAAAACTTTAAATTTTAGAATAGCTTTAATTCTCAGAAATATAGAAAATTCACTTGTACCCTATGCCCAGTTTCTTCTACTGTTAATATCTCATATTATTATTCAGGGATTACTTTTAGGTCAATTCTCCCTTGTTTTGGGGATGTAGACATATTTGTTCATAGATGTGATACTTCAAAGACTTTATCGGCATCAAAGAATAAGGTAAAATTAAATGACTTTTTTCATTTATAAAGTAACCTGGAAATAAAACAAGCATTTAGCAAAATAATGGAAATCTTTAAAAATCACTGATATGGTGCCTGGTATATGTAAGTGCCCAACAAACACTTACTGAAAAACATGAATGAATAAATGCACATGCCGTGATGCCATATGTCCTGTCGAGAACCTCACATCTTAAAGCTTTCAAAATAGATCACGTCACTCCTTACATGGATAACTTGTTCTGCCGGATCCAGGTTGTAATTCTTCTAGCTCACTGCTTTAAGACATAATTTACTCTCATGAAGTCCCGCTGTTTCCTCCACCTGCTTTTACCTCCCAGAGGTACCAGTGAGTGCCTAGCGCTTGCCCTGTTCTGTCCATCAGAGTGAATGCTAAGAGTAAATTCTGCAACTTCTGACTCTTTGATATCTGTTTTCTTCAAGACTCTCATGTTTTGCCCCAGGATATAATGGAGCAAAACTAGAAGTTGTTGTGTCTTGTGGAAAACGTTTCACTTTTGAAGGAGTGCCAGTGTAGGTTTTTTTTCAAAAATATTTTTTATTAGTACATGTACGCAGTTCATAATGATTACGTTCATTGTGGGGAGCTGGGACATGTACATAGCACACCCTAATTCTTTTTATGTCCCCTTCCCCTCCCTCCCTCCATCTCTTGGTTCTCTTCTGATTTGCAAAAAATCTTATCTCCCTATTTCTATTTCTTATTATCTCTTATTTTGCTCTTTAATTTTTATTTTGCTTTTCTCATATAAGAGAAACCATGTGATATTTAAGCTTGTGTGTCTGATTTATTTCACTTAACATTAAGGTCTCAAGGTGCATCCATTTTCTTACAAGTGTGTCATTTTTAATAGCAGAGTAGTACTCCATTGTGTGTAGATACATTTTATTTACTCATTCATCAGTTGATGGACATATAGGCTGCTTCCAAGATTTAGCCACTATGAATTGTGCTCCTATACCATGGGTTTGCTTGCATCTCTGTAATATGATGTCTTTAACTCCTTTTGGGGGGATACCTACGATGTAGATATTAATTGTTGTATAGAATAAATCATCCTTGGTAGTGCCTAAATAGTCTTCTTAAAGTCTTTTATCTGAGTAAATAGAAGAAAGTAGGATTTTTTTTTAATCAAGAAAAATAAAAATGCTTCATTTGAAAGGTAGAATGTTCAACAATTAATCTTTTTTATGTTTTCAGAATTCAGCTGTGGAAATGGTTTTGTCAAAACAACTTTCTCTCAACGATCAAGAAAGCATGAAAAGCACTAACGATGAGCAGAAAGTCAATGAGCTACAAAATCAACCTTTAGAGTTAGACACTGTGTTAAGAAATGAACAATTAAAAGAGATGGAGGTATGGAAACGTGAAAACCACTGACGGCATGATTGCATCGTTTATCCAGCCCAGTACAATGTATTTTAATTACCAAAAGCTTGCTTGCACAGAGTGAAAAGTCTTACTTAACCTTTGGCTGATGATCAATTTGGTAACTCTATAATTATGTACTAATCAGTAAGTTGTGTAAATCATTCCACTTAAACAGTGGGAGAGTTTAATGAGCATTGGTCATCTCTTTCACAAAGTTCCTGAAAACTTCTTAAAGAAGAAAACCATAAGATATTTGAAGATTCTGGCTTGCCATCATTCTTTTTCATAGTCAAGTGTATTCTTCTGCTTCTAATGAATTCTTCTTCTTATTCCTAGTGATCAATGTTATGAGGGCCTCCTCCTTGGTTTTTACAGCTGTGTTTATAGGCCATGTTAGGGTATTTATGCACACCCAGCTATGTAAAGTGGTCTGAAAATCCAGTGCATGGTCATGTTTTTAAAAATGAAACTACAAATGATCCCTATAATTTTAGCTAAGATTACATAACAGTGAACATATATCTAAAAAGGAAAGAGAGGTGATGTATGTAAAACAGAAAATTAATTCCTCCTTAGAAATTCAGAGAACCTAGAGTAGGATGCAGTAGCATTTCAGCTACTTCAGAGACTGAGGCAGGAAGATCTCTTGAGTCCAGGAATTGGAGACCAACCTGGACAAAATAGCAATACCCTGTCTCAAAAGACAAAAGAGGAAAAGAAAGAAAAGGGAAGGAAAAAGAAATTGTAGAATTTTTAAGACAGTGAGACGATCCGACTGATATTAAATGTTGGACCAATCATGAATTTTAGTATAGATTTTAACACGATCCAAGTGAAAACCAATGTGGTAGATGTCATGACCTTAGTTTTCCTATGTGCAAATAAAGTATTTTGGGATAGGATTGGTTATGTGAGGGAAGGAAGAAAGGAAAGAAAATGAATGAATAGGAGTGCATATTTACTGATATGTGCAACTTGTTTGTAGGAATTATACACCCAGTTGGAAGCAAGGAAAGAAGCCATGGAAACCCTGGAACAATCCGAATGTCTGCACAGCACAGAAACAAGCACTTTGCTTCTCCACAAGACAACGTATTCCCCTCACCACCTGGACAGTCTGCTTCAGGCGCTTTCTACTTTGAAGAAAAATAGGGAAAGCCAGTATTGTCTCCTTCAAGAGTTTCAAGAACACCTCACTGCCCTTGAATCCTCAATGAGAGCCTCGTTGGTGGAGAGGGAAAGTCTGAAAGTGTAAGCGTGAGAACGGAGGGCTTGTTCTTTTCATCTAGTCTGTACCAGCTTAGAGCTTGTGGTTTATACAGCACTGAGAAAGGAAATTACGATTTTAAAAACCATCCTACGGAATTGAACTCAGGCTGGGTGGCTTATAAACAACAAAAGTGTATTTCTCAGAGTTCTGAGGTTGGAAAGTGAGATTGAGATGCCGGCAAATTGGTGTCTGGTGAGAACCGTGTATGGCTGCCTAGCATCAGCGTAATGGGGGTAAATGCTTCAGCACACATTTGTATACAGTTTAATGGTTTAAGATATATATTCTTCTTTGGCTTTGAAAATGATGTTGGGCCGGGGATTTAGCTCAGTGGTTTCACCGCCTGCTGCGCAAGCAAAAGGACCCGAGTTCGATCCCCGGTACCAAAAAAATAAAGATGGCAAATAATAGTAAATATAGTATTAATATGTCAGTATTTTCTCATCGAAATACTTATATTTATATCTAAATGGGTTTACTTTTAATAGCTTGAAACAATTTTATAGTTAAAAAATTAGTTTCCTATTGCAACTTCTTAGTCCACATCTGAGTCATTGTTTTTGGAAGATGGTAACAGTGGTATTGGAATGGTACGGTAATTTCTCTAAACTAGCCATTGCACAAGTACTAGACCATGTACAAAGTATTTTCATGTGCATTGTTCACAAAACGCTGCTCCTTCTGTGGCTCCTTGTTTTTATTATACTCATTTTACAGGTGAGCTTCTGCATTATCACACATTAATTGAAAGCCACCGTGAACAAGATTCTGATTTTTATTTAAGGATAGAGTACTTTTCATAGATATCCTTTTCTTTTCTATGAATTCAAAGCAGACATAGTTTCTTTTAATGACAGCTTACTACATGTTAAAGTATAATAAACATTAAGTATCAATGACCTCTGTTTTTATTCTTGTTTAGGGGACCCCTGGACAGTGAAACCTATCTGGACAAAATTAAGAAATTACTGGAATCAATAGAAAAGGACAAAAGTTGTTTAATCAAGGTGAAAATCCAATGGGAGACGTTATCAAGCCATTTGGCTGACGTGGATAAGAAGCTGTTGGACAGCCAGATGAAGCAGCTGGAACACAGCTGGGAACGAGTGGGACGCCTGGTTCAGAAGAAGTACTCTCAGCATGTAGTAGAGTGGAGTGAATTCATCTCCCTCAGGAATAAGATCCATGACACTGAGACTTCTCTGCAGCAGCAGCAGCAGCAGCAGCAGTGGCTGCTCTTAGGGCTCAGCTCTCCAGAGGAACAGGATGGGAGCCCAAACATCGTGGCACTGGCTGCTGAGCTGCAGGCCACCAAGCATGGATTTGCTGCTGTCAGGAGTCGAGCTGAACTTCAGATGAAAAGGATTTGGGGAGAGAAAGAAAAGAAGATTTTGGAAGATGCAATAAATAATTTGAAGAAGCAATTGGAAGCCTTGGAGCCATTAAACCTAGAGGTGGAAAGTCAGATTAAGAAGTGTGACATAAAGAAGAAGATGAAAGAGACTCTCCTGTGGGTCAGGAATCTGTTGGGTGAACTCATGCCCCCCATTGCCCTTCTCCCCAACGACATCCTTTCACAGATCAGAAAATGCAAGGGGACGCATGATGAAGTTCTGGACAAGCAGCAGGCCATAGAGTCGCTGGCCAAGGAGGTTAGGGCTGTCATTCCTAGCCTCACTGCATCAGAGAGAGATAATTTAAATAGCATCCTAGAGGACTTACAGAACCAGTACCAAATGCTAGTTTTAAAATCAACTCAGAGGTCACAGCAATTAGAGTTTAAGTTGGAAGAAAGAAGCAAATTTTTTGAAATGATGGGGAAAGCTCAGCTGGCACTTCAAGGACATGAAGCACTGATAATTCCCAAGACGGAAGCGGCCCCCACAGAAGCCGAACTAGAACAACGCCAGGCCACTCTGAAGACATCCCAGAAAGACCTACAGGAAGTTGAGAGTACAATCTCAGCACATCTTCGGGAACTAACAAACATCTCTGAGGATCTCAGTGTGTTTGAAAGATTATTTTTGGATAATCATTTGAAAAATCTGGAGACTAGAGTGAGCAGGATTCAGAGATGCATTCAGAGTAAATGTAATGAAGTAGAACACAAGATAAGTTCTTACAGAGAATTCCATGAGAGAAAATCCATGCTTCAGGAGGAGGTTGACAGTGTACAGCACAATGACCTACTGCTGAATCCAAAGATAAATCAAGATGTTAAAGAGGAGCTTCATAATCTTAAAGACAGACTTGCTGGCATTCGATGTAGCATCTTACAAATGCTGAAACTTAGAGAAGTGTTTGACCATATAGGACTCAAGTGGGATGACTCACAGCTTGATCAGTTACAAACCCAAGTGTTTGAAAAAGAAAAAGAACTTGAAGAAAAAATTAAGCAGTTGGACGTATTTGTGGCAGAACATGGCAAGTATCAAGCATCACTAAATCAAATGAGGACTATGGATTTGCAAATTAAGAAAAAGGCTGAATTAGTACTGAAGTCTCCTACTCCTTCACAAGAAAGCAGTCTGCTCAGTGCTCAAATTTTGATTGAGAAAACTGAGAAAGCCAAGTGCTTATATGATGACATAATTAAGAAATTAAGTGAAAATAAGGCATTTGATGATTCATTCAAAGAGAAAGAAATAGTCCAACTAAAGGTGGCGGCAGAAGAAAATGATAAGTTGCACAGGGTTCTCCAAAACATGGTGCTAGAATTCCAGCCAACAGAAGTAGATGAAAAGCATTTTCAGGACAAACTGGAAAATTCCTTACTTGTTTTAAATCAGATAAAATCTCAACTAGAGCAACCTTTGCTTATAAATTTGGACATTAATCATATTCAAAATGAGAAGGACAATTGTGAAGCATTTCAAGAAAAGGTTCATGCTGAAATGTATAGTATTAAAGCTGTGACTGTTACTGAGAAGCAGAAAGAAGAAAACTCTTCTTTTGAAACTAGAGATGTGGAGACAAAATTGCAGGACGTTGAAGATCTTCACATGCAGCTTAGCAAAAGCATTGACTTGTGCACAGTAAGTGCTTTTTAAATTAAGCATTAAATGCATCTTTATTTCATGATTTTTTCGTTTTACTCTAGTTAATGTCTGCACTTCTGAAGAAGCTACAGGTTCTACAAGAAAATAGCTGTTTTCAAAAATCCAACGAGTCACTTTTATAATCTTGCCTCATTCTACTTCAGAATTCAGCATATTATAGTCTGGAAAGGAATAGATCTGACATCTTTATTTCTGTTTCCCACATAGCCCCAGTTGAAGTCAGGAGAAAACTTTTTGAGTTTTTGTTGTTGCTGTTTGTTTTGTTTTTAGAGATAGTAAGATATGACAAAAGAAATATACAAGGAAGAACACCAAATAATAAATATTTAGAATTTACAGTGTGCCAAGCACAGCACTAAACACTGTATATTTCATCCTCACAGCAACTCTGTGAGGTGGGTGCTATTGTTAGCCCTTGTTTAAAGGAAAATTAAGGACTTGGGGAGTAGCTCGGTGGTAGAGTGCTTTGCAATCATGTACAAATCCCTGTGTTGTTTTCAGTGCTGCAAAAATAAATAAATAAATAAGGAAATCTGAGCTCAAAAACATGAAAATTTTTCTTTGTCTTGTAAGATTAACAGAACTAGGAGTCAGATTGAAATCTGTCTGAATCTAAATCAGGGATCATCAAATTAAATCCCAGAGGCCAAATCCTGACTACACTACCTGACTTATAAATAAAGTTTTATTGAAACACAACCTTGCCCTTTTGTTGGGGAGCTGCATATGGCCGCTTTCATGTTCTAACAGCAGAGTTGGTAGTTCCAGTGGCTTGCTGTCCTCTGTTGGAGGGATTCCAATATACTCCTGCCTTTCCTTCTGATGGTTGAGCAAATGTCTTAGACATCATTTATACTGTTCTTTATATAATATTTTACACAGCATTGTATCACAATCAACTTATAAAATGGAGAAATTAACTTTCCTCTATAATTCAAATATTATTAGATAATACATTTGAAATATTTTGATAAATGTAAATGCTATAGAAAATGCAAAAGTCATGTAATAAAACTTAATATGTTGTTTAAATAGATTCATAATGAATGAGGGGGTAATTCAAATAACCTTTCCATTTTAAGTGTTTTAAGAAGCAATTGATATAGTCAAAATAATGACTAGAAGTGGATGGGAAAAGACCTTTAAAGTCAATGAACTCTTTGTTATCTTAATGACAAAACCGAGGTCCAGAGATATTCCATGATGTACCCAAATAAAAATTAGTAACACAACAATTATATTAAAAACATGAGAGTCTGGAGTCCTTTGATCACAGCACTTAATCTCTTATTCCCCAGAATGTCTTGAACAGTGCTTCTGAGAATCTAACGTGCTACAGAGCAGCAGTCAGTGGGGCCGTGGAAATCCTCACTTCCCTTGAAGCCATGTTCTCATCCCGAGGAGTGGACCTGCATGATCCAGAGGAGTCACTAGCCATGTCTCGTTATAAGCAAGAGGAATTGGAATCCACAATAGCAGTCATCGAGGACCTCACTGAGAAGTTGGGATCTATATCCAGCCCTGAGGCCAAAATGCAACTTCAGCACACTCTCCAGGACCTGGAGTCTAAGAGCTTGACCTTAAGGGAGGCAGCCCAAGTAAAGAAAGCAGAAATGGCCAGGTAAGCCTTCCTACATGTAGTGCTTTCAGAATGTAAAGTGTAGGGTTTTTTCTTGATACTTAATATGTATGCATTAGAGATAATTTGGACAATATGGAAAAGTAAAAATAGACATGCCACTAAAGAAAACCATGGTAAATATTCTATTTTAAATGTTTTCAAATGTTGGTTACATACAACAAAATGTTTATGAAAGTATGTGTAGGACATAAAGAGATAAAACAAACATTGTTACACACAACATTTAAAAGATAAACATCATGAATTTGAATCCTCCTGCATGCTCTTTCTGTCTCCTCTCCGAACTACTAACTTAAATATATTTGTCCTACCCCTGCTTTTCATTGTATTGTTACTGTGGATGTGTGTTCTGTTTTCATGATTTTTAAACTAAACACATAGTGTATATTCTGTCACTTCACTTTTTCAAACTCATAATTATGATCCTGGTTCTTTTTTTTTTTTTTGGTACCGGGGATCTAACTTGGGACCTTGCACTTGCAAGGCAGGTGCCGGAACCACTGAGCTAAATCCCCAGCCCTGAGCACCTTAAATTTTTAATGCTAAGTAAAGTATTCCAGTTGTCTCATACCCTTACCAACATTTGCTATTTTGACAAAGATATCATTTTTTTTGTCAGTCTCATGAGTAAGAAGTGATGTCTCATTGTGATTTTAATTTGCATTTCTCTTACTGCTGAGTTCAACCTGAATATTTGTGGATCATCCATAGTTCCTCTTCTGTAAAATGTCTATTTGAACCTTTATCCAGATTTATTGGGTTGACTTTACTGATTTGTAGGAGTTTATTCTGTAAGGAATGGTCCTTCATAGTCTTGCACTGAAACATCTTTACAGAGAGAGTTTTCTGTTAAACATCCATTCACCCCATCCAGGCCCACATGCTAAGAGGCATCAAAGGAACTTAAACTCACAGTTGCTCTCCAGGCAAAAACCTGACGCCACAGCTTTGCTTATTTCTGTATTTTTCCATCGGGCAGGGTTTGGGTCCTCAATTTCTTGCTAGTTTATTGTGTGCTTTTTATTTTTAAAATATATTTGGAACAGATTTTTAAATGTTCTCAGGGGATATTTGGGCTCAGTCTATGTTACATACATAATTTTATAGCATTTTAAATATTTCACATATGTTGTATATAAAATACCCTACTGTAATTTTTTGCTATGTAACATTAGCCTTTTTTTCTTATTGTGACAAACCATTTATAAAAATAATTGTAACTAGGGCGGGGATTTAGCTCAGTGGTTCCAGCGCCTGCCTCACAAGCACAGGGTCCCCAGTTTGATCCCTGATACCAAAAAAAATAATAATAATTGTAACTGTTATGTAAAAGTTTATAAAATGGTTTCTTGTAATTTAACCATACTCTTTGTTAGTTCTTTTTTTTTTTTCTTTTTTTGGTACTGGGGATCGAACTGGGGACCTTGCGCTTGCAAGGCAGGCGGCAGAACCACTGAGCTACATCCCCAGGCCCCATACTCTTTGTTAGATGTAGTTTTTGCTGATGAGTAAGATTTCATTATGCAAAGGATTTTATCTATCATGTTTAGGATAAGTTTCTAATATTTAGGATTACTTTCTTAAGGTAGATTGCAGAAGTTGAATTAATGAGTCAAAAGATAACATTTTTAAGACAGTAGTTTTCTACGTGAATTTGTATCCATTTACAGCTCATTAACAGTGCTCAAGAATACAGTTTTTGCTTTTATGAAAGGAACTCTTCGCCTCCTTCACCTCCTTCTCCTCTTCCGACCCCGGGATCAAACTCAGGACCTTGTGCTTGCCAGGCAAGCATGGTGCCACTGAGCTACATCCCTGGCCCCAAAACTCTTCTTGTTTTAAAAGCTCTCCAACTTAGTTATTTTGAGGGCAGCCCTGTATGCCTGTTAAAGTTTATGTTTAGAGCCATTCATATGTCTCTTTGGTGATAGGTAGTCAATAAAAACTTGTAGAAATGCATTGACTAGCAAAAGAAAAGAAAATGATCTTTTCATTTAAAAAAAAAACCTGAATATGGAAAATTCAACCTTGGGGAGTTCAAAATTGTGTTAATAAAAATCTGATATCACTTTTTTTCTTAACTCTACCTTATTCAGGTGTCTGGAGGATTACAAATGCTATAGAAGCACTAAAGAAGAAATCTGTGCTCACCTCCAGAAACTGGAGAGCACTCTCAGGCTGTCCATGTCCTCGCTGCCAGTGTCTTACAAAGAGGCTTTGACACGCGTGGAGCAGAGCAAGGTAACATCGTTTGCGGGTCCCTAGTGAGTCTGTGGGGAGCCTTTGCAGCTATCACAGCACAGAATGTCATGGCAGAGAATGTGGCTCTTGTCATAGCCCACGGAAATCCTCAGCCTGAATTGTGACCGGTGAAAATTCCTCAGACAGAAGCCATGGAGAAAAACCTAGAGCAGTGGCTCTGAGAGATTGAATGAACGGGGTTTGCAGTACATTCCTCCCCACGAGCATCCTGACCTTAATGGGGCCTTTCTGACCTTTGCTATTCCATTCTTTGAGGGATCCTGCTGGATCCATGACAGAGGCTCATCCACAGGCAGCCACCACTGTCTCTCATCTGAGCAGTCATCGTATGTTCTGTTACTAAGCAGTCTGCTTTTTGCTTATTATCATCTGTTAGAATCTGTGGTATTATGTCAGGATTTGGATGAGGACATTTTAAGTCATCTGTGCTTAATATCCACCAAAAACAAACTAAAACATTTTTCTAAATTGTATTAATATTTGTAGAGTAAATGTTGTACAAATGAACTACCTGGTAAAATAGGAGACTTAAGTTTAAATAACAAAATGTACTTTTAGACTATTTACCTTTGAAAATACATTTTTGCTTAGAAATTTTGGTTTAGGGGTCATTATTTGTCGCCATGGTCCCAAATTCTCTCAGAATAGAATACATAGGTAAAGTTCATCTGGCCAGATTGACTTCCCAAAGGACAAGAAATGGAACTTGTAATACTTGCAGAGGATTAAAATCATTAATTGTTTAAAATTTAAGATTATAAGTTTCAGGAAAAAAAAAGTCAAGACATTCTTTCCCTCCTGTTCTGTTTCCTTGTCTTTCTTAAGGGCCTGGTGTCTGACCTCCTGTCCACCAAGGAAGAGTTGACCAAGCTGCGCCAGGTCTCCCGGCACCTGGGACGCAGATGCGCTGAAAGCGACAGAGTGTGTGTGAGCAAGACCTTGGTGGCGCTGTGGGAGAGGTGGCTCCACCTGCTGGAAGCCGTCAAAGAGTGGGAGATGTGGAGTGAAGACCTGAAGCAGGAGTGGAAGTTCATCAGCGAGGAAGTGAGTGCCGCATTTCAACACTCGGACCCCACGGTCTCCAGACAAATGTTATGGCAGTCAGTCCCTTCCCTTAGTTTTGGTATAAAATGAGGCCAGCTGGGCGTGGTGGCACAGACCTGGAATGCCAGCTACTTAGAAGCCTGAGGCAGGAGCTCAAAAGTTTGAGGCCAGCCTGGGAAATTTAACGAGGTCCTGTCTCAAAGTTTTTTTCTTTTCCGGTGTTGAGGATGGAACCCAGGGCCTTGCACATGCTAGGCAAGCAGGCTACATCCCCAGTCCATGAGACACCATCCCAAAATTTAAAAATCATAAAAAAGGCTGGGGATACAGCTCAGCACTTCCTAGGCTGTAACACACCAAAAATAAGTCTGTAACTTGTACCATTTGTGTACATCATGTATACAGTGGTACCTTAGTTCAAGAACTTAATTCTTTCCACAATTCTGGTCTCAAACCAAATTGGATGAGAACCGAATCAAATTCAGTGGTTAGGTTCAATGTTGTTCACCTTATGGGAAAATTTGATTTGGTTCTCATCCAGTTTGGTTTGCAACCAGAATCATGGAAAAAATTAAGTTCATGAACAGAGATACACATAAGTGTTTATAGAGATCAAGCCCCATTAGAATAGTCACCAAGACATTATTGTGGTTCTTTCATGATAGTGGGCTTTTTTTGTTTATATTTTGGTACCGGGGAGTCAAACTCAGAACCTTGCACTTGCAAGGCAGGCGTGGTGCTGCTGAGCTAAATCCCTGGCCCTCATGATAGTGGTTTCAAAAATACATATATCAGATAATTCTTAAAGATAGGTGACTACTAGCTGGTTGGAGTTTTAAAATCTTTATTGTGAAGATAAGTTAACCACTCTTAAAAAACAACTCTTTCTACATTCATTATACTAGAGGTTAGAATTAGGCAATGTGCATAATAATCAACTAATTTTGAAATTAACCACAATTGTTAGCTATGGAAATTAGCTGCAGTTGTTAAGTGTGGACCGGAAAATATGAGGTATAATGTTCTTTTTGATAACTGTCTCAGAGAAGACCTCCGTAATATATACCAATCACGGTGTCAGTTTAATCATGGCTTAGGACTTAGGCTTCACGTACATAAAGAAAGAAAATTAAAAATTGTACAAAATTGTCTTAGACTATTCTGTAATCTTTTCAAAGGGCCAGGTTTAAATGAGGTACAAATCAGAACATTAAATGAAAACCCTTCTCTTTTATTCATTTCATAACTTCTGCTGAATTTACTTAAGATAGAAATATAATGAATCAATACCTAATTGGAGGGAGATTGCATGCTTTGGGATCGAAGTGTTCAGCACTATCATATTAACCTGCATAGAACTTGATGTTCTTGAAAATAAGTATCATTTCGGTGGTGCTGGTGAGATTGAGTTCATGAGTAATCCCTTAAATGTTCAGGCTGCAAGGAGCTTTGTAAAGGATCTGGTTAGTGAGCCCTGCAGTTCTGCTTGAGGAGAGTTCAGGCGTTGTCTGGCTGAGTCTTTGTTGTGGCCCCAGGAGGTAAGTGATGGTTAGCACTTTGTAGAGGGGCACTAAGCCCTCAGACGTCAGGCAGTGAATGGCATGAGAGCCTGCAAGGGAGTGCTGAGCAGAAAGTCCCTGTGGACTGAGGTGGGCTCCTCCTCACCCTCAAACCTAGTAAATATTTGAGGGCTGGCTCTTACTCAAATCCAAGTCTGGGCTAATTCCAAGCTTTGCTCTTTTTCTTATGTTTCATCCCCAGTACTAAGGATTTTTTTTGTCTTATTTTGTTTTTTGAGACAGGGTCTTGCTATGTAGTTTATGCTGGCCTTGAACTCACTATATAGTTCAGGCTGGCCTCAAACTCACTGAAATCCTCCTGCCCCAGCCTCCCAAGTGATGGGATTACAGGTGTGTGCTGCTACACCTGGCTGCTCTTTTTATTTAATCACACCATTGCTTTATACCACCTGCAGCTGAATCTTACTAATTCTAACCCTTTATTCAGAGCTTTGTAACCATTCGTACAAACATTTGACAAAATCTGCCAACAAAATATATTTTTCGAAGAGTAGCAGAAGCAAATGTTCTCATATAGTACAATAACAGTTACTAAATGAGCAGGGATAGTTTGGAGCACTAGGTCTAGGTTTTGTCGCATTACATGCATCCTTGTCTCATTTGCCCTCACAGGAATCCAGGATATCTCTTTATTTGTCTGTCTACCTTTCTGTCTGTATCGATCTACCTATATTGATGTACACACACACACACACACGCACACAAACATAAGTGTGTGTATTTTTTAAATACATACTGCAGCCTCCCACATAGCTGGGACTATCGGCACACCGCTATGCCTGGCTTCTATGAGGATATTATCCTGGTTTCACAGATGAGAAAAGTGAACAGTGAGATTGCATTAACCTGCCCAAATACACAAGTGGAAGAAGTCTAGATCAAATTGATATATAAGTTTTACTTTTTGGTGCTGGCTGCCCATGGAAGGGAGGTGCTCTACCACTGAGCTCCAGCCTCCGCCTGCTGTATGATTTCCAAGTGGCCCTTATCCAAAATGACATCATCAGAACATCCATACATATGAAATTCTGTTAGCATGGTTGGTGCCTTTATATGTGACAAAGGGAGTTTCTGCTTTTTAAATGTTTAAAGTAGTAATAAAATCATTTGAAATAAATGATTTGCATAAGATTTTTGAGAACTTAAATGCATAGTTTATAAATGTACAAATTAAAAAGGAAATTTAATTTTTGATTTAACTTTTTTCCCCTTCAGTCTTTCTATTTTTTTAAACAGAATGTACTTGGTATAATTATTAACTTCTGCTAATCCAGAATAATCATTTATTTTATGCTTCGGTGATCTTAATGTGCTAGAATAAAGTCAAGTCTTCAGAGATAATTGGAGATCTAGGGCTGGCTTCCTTGACTGTACCAAAAGTCGTTTCTTTGTTAACGCCTATCTCTGTAGCTCTGTGTTTTTTATTCTTTCATTGTGTTTGCTTAGGGTGCAGCTAAGATCTTCCTTCCCTCCTCCCTCCCACTCTCGCTCCCTTCTTCTCTCTCATCCTCTTTTTTTCTTTCTTTTTTCCCCTCTTTTCCTCCCTCCTTGCCTTCCTCTCTCCCTCCCTCTCTCCCTCTCTCTTTCTGTCTCTCTCCTTCCTTCCTTCCTTCCTTTCTTTTTCTTTTTCTTTGTCTTTTTTTGTAATTAGATGTTTGGAATTTATTTATTTATTTTTCATTGAGTTTATTGGTATATTTTAGGTATAAAATACAGTTACATTCATCATTGGGATCTTGTACCTTTACATGAGTATCTTGGTTATTTTTTCCCCTTCCCCTGCCCTCCCTTCACCCCCTCCACCTTTCCCTATTTGCAAAGATTTTGTTTCCATTTTTTTCCTTTTCTCATATTTTTTCTTTTCCCTTTTTTCCTTTCCCCTACCCCTCCCACTTCCCCTGCTCCTTTACACCTTTTCTTCCTGTTGCACAATAGCAACTATACAT